AAAAAAAAAAATTAGCAAATAAAAATTGATAGAATATGAAGACAAGAAAATCCCTTGCTGGTAAAAAGAAAAGGCAATCGAAGTAATTAAACTGCTTCATTCAATGCAAAGGTCACAATGAAACCATAAACTTCATTACCCAGGATGCAAAGATTTTTTTAAAAAAGTAAATCAAGGGAATAAAAAGAGACATATTTTGAATGTTTCTCTATTGCATTTAAAAGGAAAGAAATATGTTGAAGAAAAAGAAAGAAAAAAAGTGGGGAGGGGGGTGTATGTGTGCGCAAAATAAGAATCCTTGATATTTTTATTTAAAAATGTGAGGGACATAACTTTCCCATTTTGTAAGGAATGGCTTGTAGAAGACTAACTGTGCCCTAGATCAAATGAAGGAATAGTTTTATTTCTAAAATAATATCAATTTCATGTTTCTTATTACAACACAGGACAACTCAAATAAACACTGAGGTATACTTGAATGAACAATAAATGTAGGTCAGCACACAGTCAATAATGCTCTCTTGACTCTTGTGTGACAGGGTCAAGAACCTTTCTTGGCAGGGTGGCCATTAGTGGTGAGATAAGACAACTTGATCAGAAAATAAGCAAGATGACATTTTTTTTTTGTTATTTCACTTAAGGTGGCGAGAAGTCCTACATATTACTTTATTTGGGCTTACATACAAATAATTTTTTTTAAATTGTTATCGATACATTCATATTTAATGCATTAAATTGGAACATGTAAAGCTGATCAGTGATATGAAAACCTCAGAAGCTGGTATGGGGGTCATCTTTAAGACTTTGCACAAATGTTTTAAAATGTTTAGCGACTGCACACAATGATCTATGACTAGTTTGGAAATTGCACAGTGTCAGCGCGTGCACAAAGAGCCTATTGATCCGAGAACAAAATATGGTGTATTTTTTAAAATTTTATCTAAAGGGAATAAAGTTCAAGAAAGAATTATCAGTACATGTTACCTCAAATAATTAATGATAGTTTATTGGTAGTCCTTTTGGCAAAGTTTTATTTTTTCTTTAATATAAAAAAATGATCAACTTGAAAGCAAGTTCAAGTCCAATGATTCAATTTAAATAAATTTTAATTAATTTAAATGCAAATAAATAGACCCAATCTGAACCACCAAATTGTGAAAACAAGACTTCTGCACTCATTTCCATTTTTCAAACTTGTGATTTTCTATTGCTAAAATAGTTGTATGACCAATGATATCAAAAGTGATGTATTTCAAAAGAAAATAAATATGTAACCGAATGATAAAAGTTAATTTGGAATAGCACAAACTGCCATCATGGCGGTAACTCATCTCATTAAATGTTACTTCATAAAAAATCTATACTTATATAAGGGAAATAGTTAAGTCTGCTATAAGAACCACAAATGTTATTGTAGAAATTTCTTCCTGTCAAATTAACTGTGTTGTTCATATCATTTGCTTAGTACATTTAGACGGAACATGCACTTTATTTAGTCTGCAAAATATACCAAATGAATTTTTCTTCACATCATTGTGAATTTATTAAAACCTATTATTTAGACAAGTATGAAATCTGTTTCAATGATTTTGAGAGATACAAAAACTGAAGAGTTCTTTGCGTCTGGGGGACAAACCGACTAGTTAAAATCGGTGTGCTGTTCTATCATGGATGTTCATTGTTCAGTTATTTTCCCAAAGACACCAATTCAACAGCTTAGTTTGGTCAGACACTACCGGTATCCAAATTAAAATAATTCAACATTTAGCATGACTTCATTTCAAAACAAACCCCTTGTTTAAAAAAATAATTATCAATCAGGTTTTGTAATTCAAAAAAACAAAAACACAACCCAGGTCAACTGTGAAACTTGTTTTTCTTCTACCTCTAACATGACAATGATGCTGGTTAAATAATTTTAAAAATTAACACATTTTTTTTTTAATGATAACACAATATTGAATCTGTCCAAAACAGCAACTACAATACCATATTTAGGTTTATGTACACATTTAATAAACAAGTCATTAAGACTAGTCCTAGCTATTTGCATGTTTTAGCACCCTTGGGGCAGTGACTGTACACAACTGAAAACATTTGCAGCAATAAATATTCCAATACCAGTTTATGCAACAGTAAATTTACAAGATATGCATGTCCTATCCATCAAATTGAAGTCTCTACACACAATTTTAAATTCGCCCTCATTTCTAAAATTCTTTTAAGCAGGAAAGCTGACTGCTTACATGGTGTTTGAACTCTGAAGAATCATAAATTCATATAAAATTTCTCAGTTAAATTTCTGGATAAAAGCAATCATTAAAATATAAAGACACAACATTGGAGGTTCAAGGATACAATGTTTAGCAAATTAGGACAAAGCTTGGACAGAGACAAAACAGAATAGCTCTCTAGCTCATTCTTAATCTTAATGAAGCTAATAAGCTTTACCCTTGTTTGTAAACATATCCTTTCTTAAAACACATCACACTATTCAAAAATGCTCCAATTGGCAATAAATGTAAGTCTGGGGTTCAATGGAATAGTCTATGGCAGAAAGAAAGCAATAGTTAATTTTGTGTAAGCAAGGGCTAAGTTAAAGAAGTAGGGGCTTCACAAAATAAGATGCATTATGGTGCAAAACAGCCATACAATCAGAATTGGCTTTTGACTGCAGATACGAACGACATATATGTTTGGTTCGTTGTGATGTATATGTACTGACTTATCACCATGATTGCTCATAAAAAGTTGGCCAAAGACATGCTCAATTATTTTCTATCCATGCCAGATGTAGACTTGTAACTGTAAAACCATTAGTTAGATTAGGTGTATACTATTATCTTTTTCTTTCAACTGATTTTTTTCCATGAAGAAATAAATAACTTTTTAAACTTCAAAATTTGTCATACAAAGTACCATACCTATTTATAAACTCAAATGCTTTAGCAACACTTGAGCACATAAATCAACTGGCCTGTAACTTACTGTAAGCATACAAATCAAATATGCACATTTTTTGTTGAGAATATATTTACAGTTGCACACAAAACTTGTTTCCAGCAAATCAAATGGCAGAGAAAAAAAATTTAATTTCAGTTTCAGTAATACAGTGGTCAGCAATAAAAATATTTTCAGTTTTTATTTAAAATTCCCAATATTTTTATTGCAAAACTCCAATCCTAAACACAATGGTCAAGGCAAGAGAAGTTAAATCGAGTCCAAGTTCTATTACCTGATGACAGTTATTTCTGACTAGATTTTGTGTCACTTGCAAAGTCTACATTCCCTACTTCTCTTGATGAGCAAATCTATAATAAATGGAAGAACAATCTCATAGAATTATTAATCACTAGTAAATAATGTAACACCCCTTTACATAGTTTATTGCTAAGTGCGATATCACCTATGGTTGTTCAAGCAGATGCCCAAACAAGCTTTGACTGGGCAAATTTAGCTTGTACATAACCTAAACCACAAGAGACCAGCAAGGGGGACAAACCATTGACAAGAAGTTCACAATTTATACTTCCTTACTACTTTTTCTAGAATCTAAAAGTCATCTTGTCAACAACAACAAATAAAAAATGTTTCAACTTAAACCTATAATTCAGAATGGTGAGGAAATTATTAGCATTATCCCCATTATAACTATAGTTAAAAAATCTGTATGGTATTCGGTAACGACATAATGAATCATTTGCTTTAGACAGCATATATACTAATGTTAATAGCATTTATTTATATGTACAATGAACATTGAAAAGATTAAACAAAACAGTATTGATTATGACCATTGGACAGGCCTCTAATTAGTTACTATCTCACATCCTCAACATTTGCAACATTCGTAAAACCAATTTGTTAAAAAGAGATGCTGTCCTGGTAGCTGAAACAGTTGTGCCATACTTTGTCAGAATTCTTTACAATTTGTTTTTGATTATGTATTTTTCCACCATTAAAAAGTAATAAAAGTGTAAACTAAAAGTCACCCATTTCTTACAGCTTATTCATAGAATAGTGTACTCTCACTTTGGAATAAAACAGGCATGGCAATATACACCCGTTCAATTATGATCCTGCTACCTATCTGAACACGAAGTACTTATAACATCTTATGTACCGGTACCGTGTCAGATATTGTAACACAGGAATGCAAATCAGAAGTTAAATCAATTGCAGCATGTTAAATTTGTTAAGCCCAATACACTTTTTCCATGTCACAGCAAAGCATTAAAATATGTGTTTATTAAAAGATTAAAGGGGAGGTCAACAGCTTGTGCTAAAATCATGTTTCTACTGATTCGGAGTGGATGAAATGGTGGTGTTTTCCCTTGTAGGAATTGTTAATCCACACAGAAGGTCATGGACACAAGTGGCAGCAAAACTCCTTAAACGGCAAATAATGGAAAAGCTGCTCTACCTAATTAAAATTGTGGTTTCTCGTGGGAATATTGCTAGACTAGCTCATCTTGATGATCAAGTGCAGGTCTCAAGATGTCCACAAGTGATTTAGAAGATTGCAGTATGGGCGTTTGAATGTTTGCGACGAAACAAGAGAAGAACCCAAATCCATGGGCAACAACATGGATGTGCAGATGAAGGAAGTTTTGTTTCCTACCAAACCAATCATACCAATTCTAAAAAAACAGTTGTATGTTCCAAAAAACAGCCTTGATTAATTACACCAAGAGTGGGCCAGCTGGAATTTTCATTTGCTGGAGACCAGAGGGAAAAGCAGATGAAGTCTGAATTCCCACAAAGTTTTTTTTTTACGTACAACTTAAGTATGGGAAGTCAGCCTACTTGAAAGCTCATCATCTTCTTTATTTCCTCACATCATGTTGTTTTACTGCAAGTAACATGTCATTTGGTAAAAAAATAAATATCCAAGTATAATCACTTTCCTAACATAACCACGATGTGCGCAAGACTTACACTGCATCATTCACTTAGCAGTATGAGTGAAGTCTTAATAATCCAGCAGGATGTAAACAGTTTCACGATGGCATTGCACTATCATCTTTGAGCTTGTTGTCTTTCAACCATTCAACAAATTCATCCAACATAACAGGCCCTGAAAAAAATGCACATACTTTATTAAAATAAATATTAAATAACATGCATTTCTGTAAGTTACACAACAATGGGATTTAAACCAAACAGTATCTGAAAGCACTATGAAATCCAAGAGATCAGAAGTCAATAAAGAATAATTGCTGTGTTATACAGATTATAAGACGCACCTTAATTTTTAAGCAATTTTTTTAAAAAAATAACTTTTATATTAATTTCAAGTATAAGACGCACCTGAATTTCGGAGGCAATTTTTGGAAGAAAAAAGTGTGTCTTATAGTCCGTAAAATAAAGTAATTAGAAATTAAATAATGGAATAATTCGGTGTTCTAATTAAAAACAGAACCGTGTGTAAGACTTACATGCCCCATCCTCATCATAATTCTCTAAATCCGGTTGTATAGCTCTACTAAACTCAAGTATATTGCACCATTGATCTTTGTTGATCACCTTGTATTTAGCCTGCTGTAAAACAAGTTCAATTATCAAAGACAATAAAAACATACTTCAGATTTCAGGGGAAATCAATTGATCATAATCCTACCTAATATTTACTAATAAATAATAAGACTGATAACAAGAAATATTACTTTATTTAACCTATGTAAAGTTGTGGAGTAGCTGTAGTAGCACTGTCGCATGTTGTGCTAAATAATACCCCTCAAAAAATTACTCAGCCTATCTCATGTCTTGTATTTTCTACACATTTCTTTAGAAACAGTGGAATATTTTCTCTGAAAGTGTTAAATGGTTTCAGGGTCAGGAAAAATTAAAACAAATCTAATGGGTAACTCACCTCTAAAAACTGATGGAAGTAAGAGAAGAGGGGCCAATTTTTGCCCAAAACTAATGATAGCATCGCTTTTGCTGTATCTGTGTCCATACTTCTTTGGTCTTTTTCCTAATTAATCAATACAGGGCAATTTTTTTTAAAATATCTCTTAAAAGTTATGTCTTTAGAGAAGATAATAAAAATAGTTTACTCTAAAACTTAAATATAGTAGTTATCATATAAACAATGAGCGAAATTGAAAACAAACAAAAAGTGAAAAAGAAACAGATTAACCCTTTACTTGGCACAGCGACAAAAAAGGTCTTTACCAGTGAATGGGCAAAACGCCAGAAAGCATCCGTGACAACTAAGGGTTGTAACCATGCGATCTCCAATACTTTGCAAGACTTCCCATTGTTAACTTTGCCAATAGCTTGATAACGTCTGCGCAAGTTACAAGTGTTTCCTTAAAATTTAATCATATTTTTTAATACCCGGTAGTTTTCAGGGTTTTAGTGCTTAGTTTTTCAAAATGGATTTCGATGACTCTTCAAGTAATAGCGGAGATTTTGCTGGGTTCAATTTAAATGACATTGAAATGCATGAAATTGACTATGAAGCGGAGCTAAATATAATAATATTATTTACTATTATCAGCATAAGCAGTGTACACACTTCTAGGCAGAGTGTTTGTAAATAGTGGATAGATGACTGACAATCACAAACGATAAGTTGTACTTTTTTAATGTTTGTGTTCATGTGTGGATTAGTGGCAACGATGGATTGTTCATTTCAAATACTGGTATGAGTAAAATAATAAATCTGCATTCATTTTCCTTTATTTTGTTTTTAATTTCATAAAATTTATTCTCTAACACTTTAGATTTGATGTTTTTACTATCGTAACCCCAAAATCTTACTAAAACCGAAAAAATGTTGCCCGTTCAGAGTTAAAGCAGGAAAAATGTGTGCCCTGTAAAGGGTTAAAAAAAGTTGTTGTTTTTTTTAAAAAAGCAAAATATCACTTACCCTTGCAAAATCAAATGCAAATCTGTAAATATTTTTGAAAATAACTGGATCATTGAGCATTGCTCTCAGATAATCAAGACGATTTTGAAGTTTCCCAATAGTATCACACCTAAATAAAAATCATGAAATCTACATTTTATAAAATAACACAAAAGGTTTTAATTGGGGTACCCCAATTAAATTCAATAGGCATTAGTTTAAAGATAAAATGAATTCCCCAACAAGTAATGTCTTAAAAATAGATGACTCGAACAAGCTGCCACTTGACCATTGCAGTTACATGAATGTGGAATATGAGTATTCTTGGACAGTATAAGGATTAAAAGTATAATTACTGCAATTCTGTCATTCCTTTCATCCATTCTTCGAGAGTGAAAAAGCCCATGTTCTTGGCATTTAGCTTGTATGCCAGTGCTAACATCACAATCTAAGAGTAGAACAGAAATCAAACTTAGGTGAACATAACATTGGTCAATAAAAAAAAAATCAGTCAAGACAGTATAATTAATGCTAAACTAGATACATCATTTCAACATTTAAAAAAAAATTTAGATACAACAGCACATAGTAAACATGAAGCATCACACATTCTGGTAGTTTTTGTGCCTCTAACTTTTAAAACTGTGTATTAATCAGTGTGGTTGCGCCCCACCCCCCTCAAAGCACTTAACTTTGCGACTATAAATAGTTACATTCAAATAAAAAGTGTGCAAGGAGGAAAGAAGTTTATATTATATCTGGTTTAAAAAAGACAGCAACAAACAAAAACAGCACTAAAAATGAGAAAACAATAAAATAATGAGTAAGCAGATTAACTTAAACTAAGGAAGTGTTGGAGCAAAACCTATAAACACACTTACATTTTCTGGCTCAACACCAATGTCTTCGCAGAACTTTTCCATCCCCTCTGGACCCAGAGTTTCTTCATTAGGACCTTAATAAGTAGAATTATGTCATTAAATATGAGGGTCTCTCATATTAAATAAGGATATGCCAAAAATAAGATTTGTAGTCACAATTTTATCGTGTATTCGATTCATGGATATGTTTAGCTAATAGTCTTAGGCTCAAAGTGCAGTTGTGTACTTTACTCAATAATTAATATATTGATTATTGAAACAACAGATAAAATCAGTTAGCCTGCCTGGTGATCTGACTGACAATACCATTGATAAAATTTTTACCTGTGTATTCATGGAACCAGGCTAGACAACGTTTTTTGTTAAATTCTGTAGGAACTTCTCGTCTTGGTCTAGTGAATTACAAAGATCAATAAGATATCTTTATCTCTTTTTGCATGAATAAAATGCCTGAAAATAAAACTGCCTAGAAATTTAAATATAAACTTAAGATCCAATCAGTACATATTTTGTGTAACAATAGAATTCATGTTAACTTTGATATACATTTTGGGTAAGGTGTTGTGTCAGACAAGAAATAAATAGTTTTAATTTAAATAAATAGTTCCAGAACTATTGCTTTGTTGAGTTTTTTAAATTTTATTTTTTTAAACGGGTTTCCTGAAAAAAATTTCAACCTTTCCATAGGGAAGAAATTTTTTTTAAAGCATTACTATAATTTTCAAAATTTCAACACTTTTAAATTAAGATATGGAATCACTCACTGCTGAGATCTGCTTTTTTTGGCCACAGTGTCTTCATTACTTGGTTCACGTCTACGCCGACGTGACGGCATGATGTTAAATGGATTATAGAAATATTCCTGGTTGTCAGATGAGCCTGGTGAATGATTTTGAGCACCAAGATTCTGCATATAAAATTTATAGGCTATTACAATGAGTAATTTATCAAAAAAATATGATATCTTTGTTACAAGCTATATAAAGTGGAAATAATACTTATCATATGTGTTTTCAGTAGATTATTAATTACCAACATAAGGCAAAACTTACTAAAGTATTAAATCTATTTGGCAAACTTGAATGTATATTTTGATCCAGGGTTTCTTTCTTATCTAAAATATAGGAAATGCAAATGATATATAAATACATTATAAAACCAAAGATCAGTCAAGAATTATTTTTAAAAAACATTTTTTTTCAAAAATAGACGTAAATTTTTAAAAAATAATGATTTAAAATAATTTGATGAAAATTCACACATATCTGATGATGCCAATGTAATATGCTTTGTGGTATGCAGTTTTGACTAAACAACCAAGGGAAGAATTTCCAAGCCAATACTTCTGACAACAAGAGCAGCAACAGAAGAAATTTTTAGTGTAATTAATAATTAAATAAAAAAGGGCCTTCATTGAAAGAAATGGTTGGGACTACAGGAAAATACAGACAGCTAGAGGAGCATTAATCACATATAACACTACCGGTATATGGCAATCTAAAAATATAATATTCGATTCATATGCATAAAAATCTAGATCAGTGGTCAGAACATGTCTGAACAACAAATCTCACTATAAAGATATCGCAAGGTTTCATCATCAAATTTTTTAGCAGGGTCTTAATTGTGTTATAGTTTGGTAAGAGCTGAAGATCGTAAAGTGGGGCAAAAAAATTGGAACCAGTGGAGTCAGAAATACAACAAGAAAATAGAGATGGTTACCCTACAAAGAGAAAGACAAAATCACAATCACATTAAAAAAACATAAGAAAAAGATCACATGAATGTTCAACCAGATTACACTTGACAAGGATCTAAACAAACGGATAAAGCTATGTGAAGTGATCTGTAAATTGTGTCTTAAAATGGAGATAAAAAGGAAGTCATCCCGAATGACTGAGTCTATATTCTACTATTACTACCACTACTAAGTAAGAAATTCTGAATGACTGACCCTATTTTCTACTACAATTACCACTATTAAGTACTTCTTGTTATATCACAGGCTAACATGCTTTTATTTTGGCAACCTAATAAAATGATCCATTTCCACATCTGTTAAGTACAATTTATTTATTTATTATCTTATTTAATGAAATAGCAGAATGTGACTTTAAAAAAAAATAAAGTTACACAATGATAACTGATGTGGCCAGTTCCAAGAACGCATGCTGTATGTGAGAGATCAAGGAGACTGATGCTATTGCCCTGGATAAGGGACACAGTGATCTGATTGATCACCTGCCAATAGTGTGCCGTAGCTGTGTTTTCCATAGCTGCAAGTCTTTATCACTCCTCTGCCATATGCTACTATGTTATTTTCATTTTAATATTGTATATATTTTTATTATTGTTTTCACATTTTTAGGCTAGAAAATGCTTATTTGACAGCAAAAATAATAAATATAAAAAAATACCAGTATATATATTGCAAAATCCTGTGATACATAAAAAAATCAGCAATACAAAATTAGATTTACACAAGTAAAAAGTTTGAGATAAAGTGAGACAGTGAAAAGGAACCGCCATAGGCGAGGGATAATTGTATATGTTAAATAAGCCTACGCTCATTAAAAAAATAATTGTCTTTTAAGTTAAATAAGAAGAACCATTGCATCCTTTCATACAACAATATATACAAACACACACACACACACAAATATATATATATATATATATATATTACAAACCATTTTAATTCTGGAGGAGTAAATTATACATAAGCCCTATGAAATTGTGACACTAATGACAAAAGGGGCATGGGAAAAAAAAGTTTGGGGAAAAACTGATAAGACTAAGATGATCATTTTTCCCAAATAAAAACCGGGACATTTAAATTGTTTGTTTTTTTGCAGCTTACATGAGTGTCCAAAAAAAAAACAATTGTTTTTGCTAACATTAAGGTGTTCATTTGGAAAAAAAATATTGTTTGTAATGCCACTTAGCATTAATTATATGTATCTTAGTCTTAACTGTATCAATGTATGCCTGGACCTCACTTGTACTTTTGTCTTTGTGTAGTTTTAAACTGTATAGTCATAGTAGCCTACTGGTTTCAGCTTACTGGTTTCTATCCCCAGACAGAAAATGATGTTAAAATGTCCTGTGATTGAGAAATGGTGGCATAATAGAAATGGATAGTGCACATCTTTTTTCCAATGTCAATTCAATGTCCATCTTTTGTTATCAGCAAGAATGACTTAATTTGTTTAAATTTCTAGTAATTTGAATTTTAAATAAAAAAACAAATGGAAATTTTCAGGGTAATATTATTATTATTATAATTATACTAATTTAAACTTAATTAATTAAACTTATTAATATTAACTGTAGGGATTGTTGTTAGTTTATCAGTATCATCATGTATGATTTAGTTTATGACTCAATTATTGCCTGTTAATGCTCAGTGAAGAAAAGTGATCATATTTCAGGTCCAACTATTGGCATTGATCTACTCACTCTATTCATCCTTGTTAGTTTAGCTACACTTACACCTTTGCCTTGCCCAGACCAGGACAAAGGTCCAAAAAATTTAGATTAATATTTATCTTTTTAAATTAGTCCTATTACTATTAGTATTACTATTACTTACCTACGCTAATTAATAATAACAAGTTAAATTTAAGTAATTCTTACTAGCAAAAATTACTTTAATTTTTAAATTAAAAACACATTTTGACAAATAAGACTTAACAGTATGCACAACATGGCAACATATTGACTATAAGGGACAATTATAAACATTTTTAATCTAACATTTCAAAGCACCTTAATTCAGGACTGTAGCTTAACTTACAAGAATCGACCGAACTTCACTTTCATAATCACAAAGTCACAAAGCCAAAGGCGTCACCCAGTTCAGTTAAAATTAATATTTTCAAAAATTAACAACATTACTTTAAAATACTCTTTTAGATATTGATTAAGCATTAAAAAATACCTATTTACAAATTGTTCATTATTAACACGACAGAGATGCATCACATGTGCACTGCAGACAAGACATTACAGCTTACTAATTACAGTAAAGAGCTTTTCTTACGTTACATTAAAATAACGGTTCAGCAATTTTTTCTTCCATACAAAAACAACCGGAAATAAAACGTGCATTTGAACCGGACATCTCTTTAAAACATGCGCATTTGAAGTTGTTATTATATGTTTCATAGGTTTTTATTGGCTAAGAATAATGTGTCCAATCATAATAAGGAAAACATCAAGTATTCTTGAAACATTCCTCAGCTGTAGCGTTTACTGTTGTCAAGCGAAACTTCCGATTGCCTATTGCAATGAGCAAGGCTACTTTAATTGATATGAAATATAATATTAAATAAAAGACGTACATTCTAGTATACAAATGAGATGCCCATTTGATAACTGAATAGTGCTTCTAGAGGTAAATGAATTGTTTTGAACTGATATTAATAAGTAGGCAGTTTTATCTTTTACTTTTTTTTTTTTTAAATTTAAAACTACTCACTTTACTGAACTTACTCACTTAACTAGATAGTGATAGAGTCTACTTATAATAATTGTATCTATAATAATTATATAATAATATCAGTATCATTTGACTTAGACCGCGCTTAGGCTATATTATGTTACACTACTAGAAATAACCCCTTATCGGAAATAGTATTTTGAGCGTTACTGTTCACTGTTAGAGCTCAACATTAGGACATTAGTAATTAGTCATTCATTTAGATACTTTGGTCAAAAATGTAAACATTTTTTAAAAATAAACCAATGGCACAGTTAAATAGTGCTAATTTTAAACAGAATTATAACACCAAAATCATATTTTTAGCTGTTGTAGTTTTAAAGTTATGAATTTTCAAAGTACGACTTGGTTTGTCATTTTTTAACATGGACTGCATCTCCACATTCTGTGACCTCATTCCACTGATCGCGTCATGCGCAATGACTATATAGTTTATATAAGGCAACGCATTCCCTATCGCTAAAATACTGTTTAGGGTCGACTTATTTTAAACTTTCAACTTTGGCACATGAATAATTAATAAAAGCTTTCCCTGACCAATGGTTTAATAGCTTTTGCACACGGCAAACTCTTATGAATGAAACTCTGTTATGCAAGTGGCTGTGAATGGTTGCCAATGACAACGTGTTGCACAGGGAAAATTCTGATCATTTATAATATGGACTCTGCAGGGTTTTTAAAGCTCAAATTAAAACATTTCCAGTTTAAATGTCTTCAAAATGCATTCTGAAACACAAAATATAAAATATTTTGATGTATATAGTGGTAATAATTAAATATTTCCTAAGTATCGGCAACTTCCGCCATTAAAAAGGGGGCGTGGCCCACGCCATGTCGAAATTAGGCTGAGCCACCTTATGGTGATATGGGTCACTGTGACAAGTGTAACAAACGTGAGACACGACCTACATCAATGAAACTTGGCACAGATATAGATCAATATATAATGCTCATACAGATTTAATAAAAAAGGACCTTATCTTATTATTTCACAAAAAATTTTGTATGCGAAGATGCCTTATATATACCAAAGATTTTCAAAATAAAGGTCGATTGAAAAAAGCAAAATAGCTGGCTAGAAATGTAGGCCAAGATGTCTTCCAAATTATAAGGCCTGAAACGGAACTCAAATATATGTGGAAAGAACTAATTTAATAATAAATAGACACACACATCGGAAAATTAAAAACTCGGATTTTTCGGCGCCGACGCCCATTTCCGATACAAAAAAAATAGCAGTCTCCCTTGTTTCATCGAAGTATCTACATTCATGATTCATACATTTATATACTAACTATCCTATCACAATCCAGTATATATCACCCCCAGGTTGGAAAAACTATGATCTAAATTATTTGTAAACTTCTAAATTTTTTAGATAAAATAATTTGGCTATGCATTATAATTCCCCGCATGCAACTGATGGGACCTAATATTAGTAATATAGGCTAATATAGGAGTAGAATAAGTCATTGCCAAGTAAGCATGTTGTACGAGGCAACTTATTGTATCATGCTTTGCAATGGGCTAGCAACCCATTCATTGCAAGAAAATCAACTACCACTATGCAAACATCCACAAACAAGTGTTTGCCTTCCCCAGCGAGGGCGGGTCCTTATAAAGGGATTATGACACAGATTAGCCAAAGCCATACGGGAGCTGACTTGCCAACTTCCTGTCTGATGCTGCAGAATTGGCACCTGGAATGTTAGAACGATTTGGGAGGAGGGGAAGACAAAAGAAGTAACTATGGAACAGAGGATAGTAGAAATCTTAGGAATAAGTGAGGTAAGATGGACAGGAAATGGATCTACTAAACTAACATCTGGAGAGTCCATTTTATACTCTGGTCATGAAGAAGAAGATGCCATACACAGTGAAGGAGTAGCCCTGATACTGTTACCTGCTGCAAAGAAGGCTCTGATTGAATGGCAGCCTGAGGGACCATGGATAATAAGAGCAGTCTTTAGAACTTTCAAGATAGACATCAACCTAAAAAACTTCAGAATGTTGTTTCAAGTGCAAGAGACAAATTTATTAACATTATCATGGAGGACTTCAATGCAAACATAGGAAATGTTAATCCTGGCTATGAGGAAGTAATGGGAAGACATGGATTAGAAAACATGAATAAAAGTGGAGAGATGTTTGCAGACTTTTGTGCAAATAATCACCTGGTAATTGGAGGAAGCATATTTCCACACAAGAAGATCCATAAGGTGACTTGGATATCACCAGACCAAGAGACCCAAAACCAGATTGATCACTTATGTATGAATAAAAAGTTCAGACACTTACTGCAAGATGTTAGAGCCTATAGGGGAGCAGACGTTTCATCTGAACATAACTTGGTGATAGTGGAAGTTGTGCCAAAAATTAAAAAGACTGAACACCATCCAAAAGAAAAGACAGCGCTGTAACACAGAATTCCTTAACCATTTCATTACCGCTGGTTTTGGGGGCATCGATTTTTGCTGACTCAGCAATAAAAAGCTTTTTAAAAAGAACCCTTTCATTCTCTATCCGATTTGCTTATTAACTTCTCTATAGATCAAGGAATAAAGAAATATATAGCATTGAAATATGACGTCGACTTGACGTCCTTGGTATTTCAGAAAAGGTTTTTGCCTCTTTGTTATGACGACAATGTGACATCCTTGGTAATTGAAAGTGGGTGATCGTGACATCGCGTTGGTGTCATTGGTAACGAAAAGGTTAAAGGAACTGGAATCCTCAAGGTACCAGAAAAGAAATAAGAGTTTAGAGTAACACTATCAAACAGATTTGAGGCTCTGCAACAGCTCGAGAACATATCTGAAGACATAGAAGATCAATGGTAACATATTAGAGGAATCTGGGCGAACATATGCGAAGAAGTATTAGGGAAGAAAGAATATCAACATATGGAGGGGTTCTCAAAAGAAACAATATACAAAATTAAAGAGAGGAAAAGAAAGACGATAATTTATTTAGAGAGCAAAACAAGAGAAGCAAAAGTGACTGCTTTTGGTAACTACGCAAATGCAAATAAAGAGGTTAGAAAGAACAGCAGGAAAGATAAAGGGAGATTTATTGATGACATTGCTAAGGAGGCTGAAGAGGCTGCATCAAAAGGTAACCTAAGGGACCTGTACAATACAACAAAGAAGGTGACAGGAAAGTTTCTTCAGCAAAGCAGACCAATTTGGGAAAAAAAACTAACCAACAAAGATGAACAAAGAAAAGATGGCTAAAATATTTCACAAAACTCCTAAACAGGCCAGCCCTACAAGAACCACCTGAAATTCTCCCTGCAGAAAAAGATCTTCTCATTGACTGCAATGTACTCAACAGAAAAGAAATTAAAAATGTGATCAAACTAGTGAAAAATGGAAAAGCTGCTTGCCCTGACGGAATACCTGCAGAAGTACTAAAGATAGACCTGGAACTGTCATGAAGCATACTTCACCAACTTATTGTGACTATCTGGGACAAAGAAGAGATACCCATGGAGTGGATGGAAGGATACTTGGTCAAACTTCCAAAGGAAGGAGATCTCCAAGAGTGTGGAAACTATGGAGGAATCATGGTACTTTCTGTAGCAGGAAAAATAATAAATATAATTATTCTGCAGAGAATAAAAACAGGATGGTTTTAGAAAAATCAGATCACCTACTGACCAAATTGCAACCCTGTGCTTGGAGTGGAATGCATCATTGTACCAAAATTTTGTCGACTTCGAAATAGCATTTGACAGCTTAGACAGAGATACACTCTGGAAACTACTAAGACATTATGGTATTCCCCAAAAGCTAACTAACTTAATTAAAAACACATACAAGGATATGAGTTACAGGGTTATACATGAAGGTGAACTCACAAACCTATTTATGATAGAATCTGGAGTCCGACAGAGATCCCTGCTCTCACCATTCCTCTTTCTGTTATCCATTGACTGGATCATGAGAGAAACAACCAGGGGTGGGAAAAACTGAATCCAGTGGACACCTTTCAGACAGTTGGAGGATTTGGATTTTGCAGATGACATTGCACTTTTATCACATAGCCATAAACAAATGCAGGAACAACAAAACTTGACTCTGTATTCCAGCTAGTTGGACTTAGCATAAATAAAGGGAAAACTAAGATATTAAGAATAAATGCAGTGGATGATGGAGTCATTGGGATTAACCTGAGAACTTTTACATACATGGGAAGCATCATAAATAAAAATGGTGGCACAGATGAGAACATTAAGTCTAGGGTCCAAAAGGCCAGAGGAGCATTCAATGCCCTGCGAAACATCTGGAACTTCAGTGAAATACCGACAAAAACAAATTTAAAGATATTCAACTCATATTTCAAGGCACTTCTTCTATATGACTGTAAAAATTGGAGAACAACAATAACAAATATTAAAAAGCTGCAGAGTTTTATAAACAAATGCTTGCAAAGGATCCTCAAAATAAGATGGTTTGACAAAATTTGTAACACTGTCCTTTGGGGGAGAACATCAAGTGTTCCGGTGGAGACAGAGATAAAAATGAGAAAATGGAGATGGATAAGGCACACATTAAGAAAATCAAACACTAACATCACAAGACAGACTGGAATCCTTGTGGTACCAAGAAAAGAGGAAGACCAAGAGCCACATGGAAGAGGGGAGTAGAGACAGAGGTGAAGAGAATGAAGAAAAGCTGGGCGTAACTAGCAAAGTTAGCCCAGGACAGCGACAGATGGAAAAGTATTGTAGATGGCCTATGCTCCATTGGGAGTGAGAACAGCTAAGAAGAAGACTGCATTATAATACATAATTATTATGCTATGGACATTGCCCAGGCCTACCAACTAAAATATGTGTAGCACTCTAGTCTAGAGATCTAATAATTGAGACTAGAAACAAAAATCAGAATATCTATATGAAACAAAGACCTGGAGAACCACTACAACAAATATTGAGTAAATCAATCATATTTCAATTCTTTGCTTCATACAAATCTTTACTATTTGATGGCTCTACACCATGGCATATGAAATTAAGATCTATAGGAGAGTGCAAAAATCTACACCCAGCATCACAAGACAAGCCCTCACCTTGAATCTCCAGGAAAAACGGAAAAGTACCGGGCCATAATATACTTGGAAATGCAGCCCTGGGACAGACACCCCAAAAAATGGGATAAACCTCAGGACAGTTGGAGATACTTGCCTATGATTAGGAGACTATCTGATGATCTTTATATATATATATATATATATATATATAAATACTAGTCCAGAGCTTCCACATAAATACATAATTTTATATAGCTGGAAATTCTAAAAATAATGAACACATTATCATTATAACCATTTAGATTTTGCTTTTATGGCTATCTCCTACAAGTTGACATGTATGTAAACTTCTTTTGTATTTTGTGTTGAAGTTAACTGGTTAAAATTTTAGATGAAAATACAGAATATATTACAAATTCTAACCCAATATCCTGAAATTATCACCTCCATCATCATTTTTAACACCTTTTATTGCACTTGACATGAGTGCTGTCTAGATGTTTGTCATGTCTTGGGACCAAAATTTTATTAGAAAACTACAATTTAAGATTTCATTAAATTTTTAAAAAAATGGTCCTGGAAAAATAATAATTTAAAATCTGTTTTCTTGCTATTTTGTTATTTAAAATTTCATTGCCACATCACTGGGTAATCAATCATTTACACAGGTTAAAATCGTATCGTTATAATAAAATTTGAAACTGCATTCTATTTCATGTGGGGTTAAGAAACTGATGAATACATCTGATTATTGACAAGATACTTTTTTGACCATGCCTGGAGATTCGAGGAAAGATTTCATCTTGGTGACAGCTGCGAACTATTTTGGGGTATTGATCAATGACAATGCCATTACCAGTCTATTCAATGCCCCATCTCTGAACAACTTTCTTGATGATGGCAATACCATGGTATTGGCTGGAAAAATTGATCCCAAAAAGGAAAAAAAGATTGAGTTCCAAAACAGGGTAAGCCTTTATTTTTATTTAATCAAAGAACATTTTTTAAACCCATCTGTAAAAAAAACCTTTCAAAGTATTTTCAAAATCACGCTGATATTTTTTAGGATACTGAGTGTTTCTTTTATTGTATTTTTACAAAATAATTTTTTTTTGTGGTGCTTTTTAAGAACATATGCATATTTCGTAAACTTAAGTTTTCATTTCCTTCAACAGGTGGAGGCTACAGATTCAAAAGAAAGAGTTATTGTTTTTTTCAAAATTCGTCCAGAATCCATTACACCTGACAATGTTCAAACCAACATCATTGTTTCCTCCATGATAGATTCACCACTGAATACATTGTATCATGCTGTTCAAAAGGTAATTCTGAAAAAGAGATTTACAGTGCTGCAAGTATTTTCGTATCCCTTAAATAATCAGCTACAATAACCTGCTTATTTTTATTTGAAAGCTCCAGCAAATTTCCTATTTCTATTAAGTTATTTCTTCTTTAAAAGGTGTATGCCCCTTTGTTGCTTGATGATGGTAAATATAGCAAGAACATTGATCCAAAGCTCCAGAGCCTGCTTAGTGAGCTTGAAGCCGGGCTTGGTTCAGCAATGCGCAAGTGTGATCCTAGCTTCAGGGGGCGATCGGGAGAGGAAGATAACCTGGGAAGTATGTTACTAGAATTCATTATTTGAATTTCGATTATAGAAATGTTGCTATCACTGGGGTTAATTTTATCTTTGGAAAGTGACGTAATAATAGCGATTCCTATTTTCTATATACATCTGTTGTTTTGAGTTACTTGGCAATGAAGAAGACTTGTGATCATCATGCAGTACAACAATTATAAAGGTTTCGTATCCCTTGTAACTTCATCAGCAATTGAATTATATGCCCACATTTTTTAAAAACACGTTTATTTTGTATCCTAATGAATCTACTTAATGTTATCACTGTCCAAATCTCTATTGCTTAGCATGTGTTATTTTTAAGGTTACAGGAAACAACAATTTTTAATGATTTAAAAGAAATATTAATTATTTGAGCATTAAAAACTATATATGTTTTTTTTCTTAATTCTGCTCTAATAAATACTTTGGTGCTCGCATAGAATTACCAGCACATTTTTTCCAGACCTTCACTTAAACCATTATGTCTTTTACATCAGGTATTCTCACGCCCATGGATGAATTTCAGTACTGGCAAGACCTAAGTAGGTCAAGTGCTGGTGGAGATTTGAAAGCAGCAGCCGAGAGCTACACAGAACTGTTCTCCCCAATATCCAAGGACTATGGTGGCTTGGATGCCATGCCACTGACTGATGGAATGGAGCTGGTTGAAATTACGCAGGATACACTGGATGATTTGTGGAAACAGGGAGACCCACCTTATCCTGAACATAGGATGAGGCATCTTATGGAAGTTATTGGTGAGTTTGATAGCGTTAGCACTGCTTGTTATAAACTTTTCAAAGTAAGGTTTGAAATATATTGAAACAAATGCAAAGAAATTCTTCATGTAACTTGAAATTCTTATTGGTAAATAATGGACCAGCTATGGAGGTAAAAAAAAAAAAATTTAAAAAAAGGGTGTAGGAACACTTTCTGAAATAAAATGTAACAAGTTTGAATGTTTGTTTTTTTTTGTGCTTAGTTGTGTACGTTTTATAATATATCTTCTCAGTATAAGATGTGTTTATGTGCGGCTGTATTCTGCTGTAGTAATACATTTTTGTCTGACCAAGATTTAAACATGCACATGTATAATCACCAAGAGATGAAATGTTCAATTCATTGCCCTGTTCATTTATGGACCCTATTATAGGCTAAAAAGACAGAAATAAAAAGATTTACCAAAAAAAGTTTAGAGCGTGGTCTCTTTAAATAAGGACTAACATTTGGGAGTCCTTAAACTAGTTTCAAGTTGTCTAGAAATCGGTCAGGGGTAAAATAATAATTTCCCACTATATTCTCAAGGGAAAAATGTATACTATAAATTGGATCTAACTTGTCACCAGAAGAGACCAATGCTAAGAAAAACAACTTTTTTTCTCATTTATTTGAAATACTGTAATGATTAACTCTATTTTCACTATCAGCTGGATCTCTTGGACGATATGCCCAGCAGAAGTTGGCAGGGGTTAATATGTGGACTGGTCAGTTTAGCTCTGTTCGTGAGTCACTGAGATTAGGTATTGCCCTCTGTGAGCGCTGGACAACAGCATGTGAGACCTTGACATCACAGTTCTGGAAAAGGTATGCACCCCACCCATGGAAAGGGGAGACTTGCAAACCAAAGACCCTAAAGAAGTTGGGAGACAGGCTAGACGAGGTCAGTATTCCTCCTCCTTAGTAGTAGGTGATTTTACTTAACTACAAAAATGTCATGTTAGAAAGGCTACATCTGTCACTGCTTTTGTATCACTGATATTTTTTTAAAATTAATATTTCAATTATGACCATTTTAAATTTTAACATTTTTCTTGTAAAGAGATAGACTTTTTTGAACTTCTCTCTATGGGTACCCTTTACAAAATGATTAGTCTGATGAAGTAAATTTACATACAGCCAATTGCAATTTCCATGTTCAATCCCCAGATCCTGTCCATTAGAACTGTTCATGAACAGCTGCTTAGGCTTCTTTCAGCCCAGGAGCAGAAAGAACTTGATGTGTCCGAAGCCTTCTCGCCATTCCTTGGTCTCAACCCCCTCCAGTACAACCCCTACACCCAACCCCTGTGGGCGGCAGCTGTGCAACAGTATGAGCGCTCCATGGAGCCGGCTCAACACAGAATTGCTGGAAAGCTCAGGAACCAATTCAGACAACTGGACCAAAACCCACAGCAGGTTGGACACACAAAAATATAAATATATATAAATGGCTCAAATGCTGGCAGTGTATGAACTTAAACATTGTACTTAATTGAAAATTTAGTACCATCTTAACAAAAAACATGAGGCTGCTTTTATAAAAATACTTGATAAGTTATGGGGAACTCGTGTGAATTTTTTTTTTTTTTATTTGTCAGAAAACTTGATTTGAGTTAAAATATCTTGATAATCCAAAATAAATCGCTTGAGTTTTCAAAATGTTCATTTTCAGCTTTTGAGAGAATTCCAGAGATACAAAGAGTTAGTGAAAAGACCAACCATTACAAAGGAGCTAATTGCAGAGAGGTAAGAACAGGATGGATTTGAATTTTTAAAATGTAATATATGTTGCAAGCATACATTTGAATTTTATAAATATATATATATGTATTCCAAGAATGAAACGAATGCAATCATTTTGTCGGTTAATTACTTGATCCTGTGTTGCCTCTTCTTATTTCATCAGGAGAGTATATTAGGAAAAAAAACCTTAATGACTTAGTAACCATTATGAATCACTCAGTACAATAGGAGTGTCAAGATCCATACAAACTGCTCGGTCCTGGAAAATATTGAAGCAACATGTAGTACTTACAAGAAATGCTACAGACTTTTTAACACAGCTGATCAGTTGTTATTTTGTACTTACTTCCCTTTAAACAGAATAAAAAATATAACATTTATCTGTAGTAATACTTAATTTTTTGGTTGTTCGGAACACATCTACAGAGAGCAGTTTCTGTATAATTCACTATCTTGTTCTCACTTACATTGTTAAAAATTTTCACTTAAGGCACCTAATGGTATTACATGTTACACAGAGAAACACTCCTTGGTCAGCTGATCACATACATACGACAGGTCAGTGAAGAATTTAATTCCCGTACTGGCAGAGGAGGAAGCAACCATGTTCCCAAAGGAAAGAATAATCCTGACATTGTCAACAATGTAATCTACGTCAGACAGTTGGAGGCCAAGGTAAATTTTTAGTGATTTCAGAGATATTTGTTTTAATATTAAAAAAAAGGGCTTGGTAAACAACATGAAAAAAACCTCTGGGTATCACATGGTGACCCAATTTTATTCTAAGTTAACGTCAGACAAAAATGTGATGTTCATCACAGCATGAGGCGAGCACGATTCAAGCTCTCTAACTGCTTACATGAATTTTTCCACAGATTGATGAGACCAAATTAATAGCAGATGCTCTTTTAGGTGACCTCAATGGCTACCAAAAATTCCAGAAGGACATGGACAGCCTCAAGGAAGATCTGCAGACCTGGAGAAGGGACCAGTTTGATGAGTGGTCTCGAGAAATTCAGTCTTTGATTGAGGATCAAAGAAAACCTCTTAGGTAATGAAAGCGGATTTTATTTGAATGTGTTTGAAATCATTACAGACTGCTTCAAGATTTTCTTTGATAATATAATAGAGGCTCATCTGATGATGCCCTAGTGCACTTTGCTGTGCCTAGTAATTTTCATCTCTCATTACTGATTATTTCTGGGTTTTTTTTTTAGTAAACTTACTCATGTTAAAATGAATTGTGACTTAAACAAAAATTAAACAATAGAATGGAAATGAATTTTGATTACGCTGTACATATTTATTTTCAGCATATGCATAGTAATTTAAGCTAAAAATGATACAGAAAAAATAATTTAATATTTAATTACCCATACCTTTCAGTTAATAGACTGAGACTGTACTGCTCTACAACATAGTATGGAGTGCATTTTTTTATGTAACTCTTTTGATGACAATTGGTAAAAATACCATAGATCACATGTTAAATAAATAATTTTTTTAATTCATTGTAAATCTTCGTGCTTAGCCTGGAGACCAGTGGGAGATTGATGGAGCTCAACCACAAAGATGGCAAGCTGCGAGTTAACTACAGTGAAAGGTTGGTAACTCTCCTACGTGAGGTGAGGCAGCTCAGCTCCATTGGATTCTCTGTGCCAGTCAAGATACAGCAGGTGGCTGAAACTGCCCAGAAGTTTTACAGGCACGGGGTCATTCTTAAACAGGTAGAGATTTGAAGTTAATTGTCATTTACTAAGTTAAATGTCCTGAGTTGACACCTGGCTACCTGAAATGTGTTCACAATTAATTTTTAATGTTGACGCTTGTCACGTTCAGATCGCGTGAATTTTTCTGTGTCAACTTCTATAATGTTAATTTGACCAATCGTGGGTGAGTTTATTTTCCCCGTGTGCCCCACGAGTTTTTAATTTTCTCGGTCAAGGTATGACCGGTGTGCTGTGTCGGGGGAAACCACGTGTGTGAGTTGAGTTTTTAAGGAGTGAACAGTGGCGAGTGCTGTGGATATGGTGTATGATTTTTGTCTTGTGAAAGGCAGTGAGTTTTCCTACGATGGAAGAGGACTTGTGTAACTTTAACTGTTTTGTGTAGTGGCATATAGGCACACATAGCCAATAAATAAGAAAACCTGAAACCTTGAATTGTTTGTTGATACTTGGAGCAAGAGTCAGCTCTGTAGGAGCTGGAAATAAAGGGGTTCTAGACCCTTGTAAAATTGTTCTGTGGCTAGTACAGAGGGGACCGACCCCTAGACAACGTACGTCACGTCACAGTGGGGGCCCGTCGAAGCAGCCATATCATCCAAGTCTACCATCCACCACAGTGGAGCAACCATCCACCACAGTGGAGCACCTATCCAAGTCCACCAACCATCCACAGTGGATTAACCATATAAACCATTCGCCATCGTCGCGGCATATCAAGGCAACCATCCAAGTCCACCAACCATCCACAGTGGATTAACCATACAAATATATCATTCGCCATCGTCGCGGCTCATCAAAGAAACCATCCAAGCCTACCATCAGCCAAAGGGGAGGCCCGTCGAAGCAACCATATCATCCAAGTCTACCATCCACCAGAGTGGAGCAACCATCCACCACAGTGGAGCACCTATCCAAGTCTACCAACCATCCACAGTGGATTCTCTTAAACCATTCGCCATCGTCGCGGCTAATCAAAGAAACCATCCAAGTCTACCATCCAACCACAGTGGATTAACCATACCAATCTACCATTCGCCATCGATGAGGCACATCAAGGCAACAATCCCAGCCCACCACCAGCCACAAAGAAGGCTGTCGAAGCAGCCATTTCAAGTATAATCATCCATCCATTCGCCGTCGTTGCGGCACATCAAAGCAACCATCTAAGCCTACCATCAGCCAAAGGGGAGGCCGTTCGATGCAGCCATATCAACCTTAACCATCCACCACAGTGGAGCAGCCATCTAAGCCCGCAATTTGCCACCGTGGGAGCACGATCCAACCATGCCAGCTCATCATTTGGTACGTGGTTCAAAAGTTCATCTAAGTCCAAACAAACCATACCAGACCATACTGCACAGTGGAGGCCGTTAAAGCAACATCATATCGTCCAAAGAACCCTACCAGCCTACCATTCATCACAGAGAGGGCCTGACCAACCAGCCACACCAGCTCGTCCAAAGAACCCTACCAGCCTACCATTCATCACAGAGAGGGCCTGACCAACCAGACACACCAGCTCTTCGAAACAATCATCACGGCCATACCAGTCCAGAGGAAAGCCGTGCAAACCAACCATACAGCTATACCAACCTTAACTTTTAGTGACATTGGATTATTGGAGACACCAGACATTCCAACCCTATCTACCTACAAGAATACAAATGAACACATGGATTATACTTCTCAATACGTACGAAATCCCAGTGCCACCCATCAAGAGAACCATCACAAGTAATTATTTTAAGTACATTATTTAGTTATTAGATTTGCAATTTCTATTGTTTTATTACTCATTTCATTTGATCCATTTCCTATTTGTAAATTTTGTGTAAACATATATATTGACATAAGACTTAGAGATAAAAATGTCGTTACCTACTATTGCCGAAATTAAACAAATGGCAATAGATTTGGGATTAGAAGGGGAGGAAGCGAAAGAATGGATAGCTATTAGGGAAAAAGAGGTTCGCGAAGAAGAAGAGGAAATTCGCGCATATGAGCGAGAAGAAAAAGAAAGAATCAAAGAACATGAGAGAAAAATGTCTGGGTATAGTGCTAGTACACTAACTGGTACTGAAAAGGGACAATTTTCTCTGGATGATAAGGAAAATGAGGGCAATATACAGGGAGACATGGCCTTTAGTGTAAAACCGATTGTGGATAAACAGGGACAAGACAGTTTGAAGGTGGGAGTAGACATACGCCAGAAAGAGAAATCTATGTGGGAACTCAGAGAAGAATGTGTCAGATGGATATATGGTTATAGTCCACCAGAATCTGTGGTGAGAAAAATTTATGAGCAATTAAGTTCTAACAAACCTTTTGACCTAAACACCTTTAAGGAATATAAAATTACTAATGAAGAACATAGTCACGTGACTAAAGATCCTGACATAACGTCGAATTGTTTGGACGAGGGTCCAAGCATTACTCAAAGTAAAGTTGATGAGAAGGCTTTTAAAGAAATCAAGCGGGAGGGGGCCTTTAGAAATAGTTATGGGAAATATAGACCGAGGAAATATACTAAGGTAGAAGTTAGTGGGAATGAGCTTAGATGGTGTCGAGAGAACAAATCTTGGGTAAGTCTGTCAGAAACTAAAAATCCAAATGTAGAAAGGGGCAGTATCAATACTAGGAAAAATGATGAATCGGAATTTTTTCAGTTTGGTATAGTTGATGAATATTTTGAAGACACCAAAACAAGAGAAAATAAGTTGGATAATGTGGATAAACAGGACGAATGTAATGTGCAGGATGGCTATCACCCTTGCACCATTAGTGAACCTAGTGGTATTGATGTTTCATTTGGGGACTTTGATTATAATATTGATTATGAGCATAGCGTTGTTGATGCTTTGGATGATTTTTTTGATTGGGATATTAATTATGAACCCAGTGTAGATGGTTCAGATGGAAATTTTGATAAAAATATTAATAATGAACATAGTGTTGTTGATTCTTCTAGTGATGGTTTTGATTGTTTTATGGCTTATGAACCCAAAGTAGATGATTTTAATGATATTTTTTATTGTGAGCCTAGTATTGCTGATGTTTCACATATTGATGTTGGTAGAGTGACTGAGGTTTGTAGTTTGTTTGATGGTAATATTGATTATGAACCCAGAGAAGTTGTTTGTGATCAGAATATTGTTTATGAACATAGTGTTACGGATAATTTATTTGTTGATGTTGAGAGAGTGACTGAAGTTTGTAGGGTGCCGGAGGCTTTTGATGGCACACTCATGGCCATTGATAACACACCCACGGGTGTTGAAGACATGAACCACCTTCCGCTTCCACGCAAGCAAGGGGTCATGATTATATGGGGGACAAGCTGGGGTAACCACGAAGTAGAAACCGTAACCTTGACCAGAGCGGCGACCACTAGATGTCGTCAGGTTGATCCTTCGACAGAGTTCACCGACACTCCTGAGTCAAGCTCATGTGTGTTGTTATGTTACAAAGGAGAAGGGACAGCTTGGGGGAAAGCAAAACGGTCTTGGGGTATAAAAGACTTGATGGGTGAATTCGTGCCTACTAGACCGGGCAGGTCAAACACGAGAAGAGTGAGGGGTGAGTTGGGCGGATCAAATAACCTCCATGATTTCTTAAGACAAGGGGATAAGCGAAACATTCCACCGTCTTGTATGTAAACATTGAAGGGACAATTCATGGCTGTCCACACATGCTCAGATGTTGACATTTGTTTTTCTTCACTTTTTCATTTTTGAATTAAGATTTTTCAAAATCATGTGCTGTAAACATTTAAATATTTGTTACAATGTATTAAAATAAATGCTCAATTTCATTGTAGGAAAATATTGAGATGATAAAGAATAGTCATTATTTTATCTATTACCATGTATGTTTCATTAGAGATGTCTTAATTCTACAATGCATTGCCATAACAATAGTAGTGACTTTCAAAGTATGATTGATAGCGGTTGATAACGGAATGTTTTAAGATAGACATTTCATGATATTTTTTTTATTAATATCGGTATGTTGTTCATGTTATAATTGATGTCAGTTTACCAGAGTATGCACGCGAACTGACCGCTGTTTTGTAAACTCGCAACATTGGGTTTCACCAAACGTCACTCGTGAGGTGCGGCGTGTCACGGTCAGATCGCGTGAGTTTTTTGTGTCAACTTCTATAATGTTAATTTGACCAATCGTGGGTGAGTTTATTTTCCCCGTGTGCCCCACGAGTTTTTATTTTTCTCGGTCAAGGTATGACCGGTGTGCTGTGTCTGAAAAAAAACCAAGTGTGTGAGTTTTTTTTTTTTAAGGAGTGAACAGTGGCGAGTGCTGTGGATATGGTGTATGATTTTTGTCTTATGAAGGCAGTGAGTTTTTCTACGGATGGAAGAGGACTTGTGTAACTTTAACTGTTTTGTGTAGTGGCATATAGGCACACATAGCCAATAAATAAGAAAACCTGAAACCCTGAATTGTTTGTTGATACTTGGAGCAAGAGTCAGCTCTGTAGGAGCTGGAAATAAAGGGGTTCTAGACCCTTGTAAAATTGTTCTGTGGCTAGTACAGAGGGGACCGACCCCTAGACAACGTACGTCACGTCACAACGCTGTTTAATAGAATCGAAAATCAACCTGAGGTCATATGAAATGTCTAGATTTTCTCCCTGTGACATAAAGGCTTCTTTTGACGACCATTTCCAACCTGATCAGTAACAGTAATCTAATTGTTCTTTTCATTGGTGTAATCAATTTAGGTTGCACATTTCTACAACACTATTGACCAGCAGATGATCCCCAGTCAACAAGCCATGATGTTGGATTCAGCTCTCGCCTTTGAAAAACTTGTCAAGAGTCCGAAAGCAGGTTTGATCACATCCAAGAAGTTACTAGTTTTTATTTTTTTAAATAAAAAAAAAAAACAACCCTTATTTATGTTTTCATTTTTGATCTTAGTGAAAACATTTTAATTCTTTCTATTTTTTAAACTCTCATTATGACTCATAGTGATAACAAGGGTTAGTTCATCCTAAATATAATATAATGATCTATTTTTTTACATAGTAGTTTATCCTATTGATGTGTAAAAAATTTAGAATTTCAGTGTGGTATAGTAAAAACTGCCCCCTCCACTCTCAAGAATCTTGTATTTTGTAACTGCCATAAGTTCGTATTCTCTCATCCTCAGGTTATAAGGTCAAAGGTGAAGATATTCAAGTCACATGGGACAACCCTGAGCAGCTGGAGCAATACATCAAAAAGCTACAAACTGCTGCTGATAGACTGACTACAGAAAACAGGAAGCTGAGGAAAGTCCACTTTTTGGTGTCAGATAAGGTAGCTGCCATTTTGGATAGATTTAAAAAAAAACAACCTTTGTCTTGTAATATTTTGTAGTGTATTTAGAATAGTATTTTAGACTAATGCAAAGAATCAGCAATTTTGAATTCTGTGTAAAACTTAAAATTATTTCAGTACAGTTAGTAATTGTTACAAATTCTGTCTAGTGGCATTGATACAGAAGATTGTAAAGGGATCACACAAATGTATAGAGGATGAATACAAAAAAAATGTAAATGCAAATTTCTATATGCTCAATATATTAATTTATTTTTTTTAAACAGCACCATTTTATGCAAAATATTAAACTGAGACTTGAATAATTAATTTTAAAATGTCAAAGAAATTTTCTGTTTTGTGTAATATGTTTTTTCTTATGAGATTTGTCTCATCATTTGTCAATAATGCCTTCTTCCAGGTCCAAGCGTTGATGAGTGTAGACCTGCTACGTCAACAACAGCGTTGGAAGGACGGCTTGATGGACATTCGTCATGTCATGGCTAACCTTGTCCAGCAGGGCTTTGCTAGTGAGAATATGGCCCCCTGGAAGGCCCACTGGGACAGACAATTGTACAAGGCACTTGAACACCAGTACATGCTTGGGCTGGAGGCGCTGAATGAAAATCAGCCAGAGATCAAAGTGGAGCTGACCTACAGGTGAAAAATTTAATTCATTGATTTGATGCTTTATTTTATAGGAAGTTTACCCATTGACATTGTGTATCATTAATAAAACACAATTTGTGTAAATAAAACAAAATAAAAATTATGATTAGACAAAAGACTAATTCAAATGCTTTAGCAAATGCCTTCATCAGTACAACAAAAAACATTAATATAATTATTTATTAATCATAGTATACCCCTTTTACCATTGTGTACCATGAAATTATTTGGGGAAAATGTAAAAATAGGAATAATTTTTCCTCGCCCACTATTAATTTTAAATTTAAATTTAAAGGTCCAGATTTTTAAAACAATAAATATATTATCTGTGGCCAAGAGTTTAAAGTTCAAAATGAAATATTTTGAGGCCACGCATGGAATAGAAATGTTTTTACTACAACAAATAATTACAAGTACATTTATTGAGCAAATTAAGTTTGCTGTAAACACATCATAGATGAATTACCATGAAACAGAAATATTATGTTCTCTGGCTACAGGCAACAGAGACTCCAATTCAAGCCACCATTTGAAGAAATCAAGGCCAAGTATTTCAGGGAAATGAAAAAGTTTATCAGCATACCCAACCACTTTAAAGGTGTTGGTGATGGAGGCGCTGACCTCATCTTTCCTGCCATCATTGATCGCAATGGCCAGAATTTCATCACCTGTTACAGAAAAGCTGATGTGTTGTTTTCTAGACTGGCTGCTGTTGAAGAGCAGTTCAAGGTCATATTGCAAAAAAAAAAATTCTTTTAAAGTATACAAATTGAATTAAAAATTTTATTTATTTAAAATTTTATTCAATTTTATAAAATCATTCTTGGTATAAAATTGGCTAAAACTATAAATATATATATACACACATCATAAATTATATATATACACACATCATAAATGCAGTTCAATAGATTATCAATGATAATACTCATAACTAATTTCTAGTGTAATGGTTGAAAGAACTCATGAACTCATGCACCATAAGACAAAGGGCAGTTGACAAAATTTTGATTTTTGAAAGGTCACTTGCTGTATTTGTAAACAGAATTTATATTAAGGCTTTGTTTTTCTCTATGCAGGACTGGGTTGTGCTAGGAAACATTGACCTGGATCAGTTTGTTATCGACAACTTGGTGGAAATTACTGACTGGGAGAAAAACTTCAGAGCCCTGAAAGTCAGAGGCAGGGATGCAGAGAAACTGCCCAGGTGTGTGGCCCTCATGAACACAGTTCATTGGTTGTGTTCTTATGTGTCTTGTCAAGATGTTTTTTCCTCTCTTCATACTTGTCGTTTTATTCTGTCTACGCTTTTTTTGTAGGGAAATCATTAATCACCCTGAGGCATATTATTTGAAGCTTGTTTACATTCTGCAGTCAAATCAAAGTGGACTGCATCACTGTCAACACAATACCCGTCAAGTCTGTGATTGATGATCACATACAGAGACTTTTTGATGCTCTGCTGAACACGCTGCGCAAGTCCATCAGCCAGGATGTCACCCAGATTGACACCTTTCTGGTGGGTGCCACCGATACACTCTCTCAGAGGCCACAGACGGTGGAAGAGATTGGGGCCGCCAATGCCAAACACTCTGAATTCTCTGCCACCAAGAAGGAGGTAAGTCAGACAAGACTTACTGGTTTATTTTAGTCATTGAAATGCAAAAAAAAAAACCCAAAAAACAACATTATCAGTTGTTTTCAATGATTTGAAAGAAACATAAATAGATTCTTATTATTATTATTTAGGTAGTTTTATATAGTGTAATACCCCGGCCTATGGTTAGGCTCACTTATATAGCGCAGTACTCCGGCCTAGGACTAGGCTCACTTATATAGCACAGTACTCCGGCCTAGGGCTAGGCTCACTTAGATAGCGTAGTACCCTGGCCTAGGGCTAGGCTCACTGCAGTACCCCAGCCTAGGGCTAGCCTCACTGCCCTTTACATAAAAATTAGAAATTACAGAAAGTTATACATTTAAAAACAACATATGATAAAAAGCTTAACCTCATCCACCCAAGTACTCTCGACCCCTGTCTAACCATGGACAGCACCCAGCAGCATCAAGACTTGTTTATCAGTTAGAGGTTGGTTGAGAATGAGTCGGTATAGTAGATTTTGAAGAGATGGGTGTGAGGGCAGTTTTGAAGGCTGGGGATGGTCGGTATATTGCGGATGTGTAATGGGAGAGAACTACATTGTTTGGGGTCACAGAAAGAGAAAGATCGTTGAGCATATGTTTTAGTGTGTGTTCTGTTAGTTAGTATTGAGTCTTGCATTGCTCATATCATTTAAGGTGAGTCTTAGTAAGTGAAACAAACTAAACTTGGCATTTGCTTGTGTCAAACCCTATGATTCTTTTTAAATTGGGATGAATTTTGATTTGAAACTCTGCTTCAATGCAAGGATGAATACTACAAGTACGTCCTCTCTAGGTGAAGCCTCTATTCGACAAAGCTGAAAGCAAAAATAAGCTTCTGAGGTCAGTGGCCGGAGGAGGTGTTGAATCATTGACCCAGCTACAGAGTCGATGGGACAAATTTGAGATTATGATGGAGTCACACCAGCTGATGGTCAAAGAGCAGGTAACATTTTGTAATTTTTTTTTTAAATATATAATTTGCCTCTTTTATTTTCCAGAGTAACAAAAATCTTAAACATTTCAATTTGGAAGTTTGTATATTTCATCAGTTTTGTTTGTTTCTTAAATATTTATATTTCAGGTTTTGTTTGTTTCTTACATATTTATATTTCAGGGTTTTTTTGTTTCTTAAATATTTATATTTCACCTTTTGGTTTGCCTCTTATTTTATAGAATGTTTCAGTTTAGAAAAATGTGACTTGCACAATTTTTTTTCCTTTCTCTTAAAAAAATAAAATGCTTAATGCCAAACTTGATGAAACTTGACTTGCAGGTAGATGTAATGAAGAGCAATGTGCTGGCCAGGGTCAAGGCATTCCAACAGGAAGTAGAGAAGTTCTCTGCCAGGTGGCACCAGCTGAAGCCAGGAGATGATGCCCTGGAGGGAGATAAGGCTACGTTGGACAAAGCTGTTTCAGTCATCAAAGAGAAAAGACAAGAGTTCCTGGAGATGGAAGAAAACATGAAGAAACTACTGTACGTTTAATGTTATTTTGATATTTTATGGACAATGGAGCGCGTCCTTTTTTGTGTGTGTGTCAATTGAATTTTTGAGAATTAAATTGTTTTAAAAATGTATATTGCAGTGATAGCACTTGGTATATAATTACAGATATCCTATTAACATTTTAACAGAATTAATTCAAAAGTATTGCATTGTTTACGTTGTGCAATATTTAAATGTTGACAGGTCAGACTGCCAACATTTCAACCTTGAACCCCCTGACTTCACTGCTGTGGAGGAACTGAAGGAGGACATGGCACGCTGTGAGGGAATGTGGTCTCTGTATGAAGAGTTCAACAGTGGCCTGCAGGCACTGGCCAAAGAAGACTGGATTTCTTTCAGGTCAGTTCTGCTGGGGTGGAAGTCAATCTCAAACTATTTTTAAAAAAATGTTAATGAGAAAAGAAAAGTGTCTAAAATTAGATGAAGGTCTTGGGGCCCATGGAGTCAAAATTTATAAGAGTGTTGGACTGCGATAAAGCTTTAAAAATAGATTAATTAGACACAAACAATTTTTGTAAATAAAACAATTTAACCTCTTTGCAAAAATTAAAGTATTAAACAAAACATGAACAATCAATGTAAAGTCTCCAACTTCAAATGAAACATCACCCACCATCCATATAACTAGCCTCAGCACAGAATTCCATAAAAAAAATTCAAGCTCCAGTTTGTAGGTGAGATTTTGAGATTTATTAATGGAGAACAAACCTCGATGGGACATCATTATTTAGGACTTTAGGATTTAAAAATCATTAACGTATGAAAAAGAGTTTAATATGAGATTTATTTTATTTTATAGGTCCAAGGCATACATGTTTGAGGAGTTCCTTGGCGGTTGGTATGAAAAGCTGAAGACAAGGGAAACCACTACCATGACAGTTAAAATACAAAAGGACATCGAGACCTACAAGGTGAAAAGTTGAAACGTGAAACTAAATTAGAAAGACTTACACATTACTTACATTGATGGTTATTTATAAAAGTGCTGACTCCTAAAGAAATCCAGGAAGATATGGCTTTCTTTCTAATTTTATATTGTCCACAAAAGTGTTTTTTGTCTTAACTTCAAATTTATCTTAAAAATTATATTTTTAGAATGTTCTACCTGTGCTGAAGTGGGTGCGTGGAGAACCTTTATCCCAGGACCACTGGATGGAAATGTTCCGCCTGCTACAGATGCCAAGGGGAACCACTCTAGAAAAATTAACATTTGGTAACATCCTGGCCGTTAGTGACAACATCATCAGAAATGCTGATGCCATTAAGGTTGGTCGTCTGAACTGTAGAAAATTTCTTTGGTCAATGTCAGGTTCACCAGGTCTTAACAACGAATGATTTAATATAGAAAACACTAAAAATTAATGCTTCTTTTAATCCTTCAGGTAAACTTATCAAATTATATGTCAAATTAATTTAATGATTTGGGATGGCTGACAAAGTAATAGTCCAAGGTTTTCTGTGCTTGATGCACTGTTTTCCGAAGTCCCTCCAGTTAATGTGAAATGAAAGTAAATTGCTAATAACCGTCCTTGATGTTCCCTGTCAATTACAATTGTTTCAGACTTATGAGTACTAAAAAGTGATGTAAATTAGCAAAAAAATTTTTTTAGGAACTAAATCAAAGAGCCCAGGGGGAGGTAACAATCCGAGAGGCCATCCGAGAACTGGAGCTGTGGGGAGCAGGAGCAAACTTTGCTCTTACAGAATACGAGGACAGCAACAAGAAGAAGATGAATCTCATCAAAGACTGGAAGGATCTGGTTAATCAGGTGGACGCCTTTTATATGAGATGATTCTTACAAATTGTTCGACGGGACCTCTCAGGTTCCGGTCGCATGACCTCAGCACTGCGGAATGAGACGTTGCTTTTGATATTTTTAGTTGCTGCAGGTTATAAGCATGCTATGAAAGAAGTAATACTCTTTTTTGCTTCCCTCCCTCATGTCTTTTTTCTAGACTCAACACGGGTTCAAACAGTTAAGTAGATAGAATTAGCAGAACATGCCATTGGATTTATTGATGTTCATGCAGGAGAATCCAGTTTCTGCTTGGTCTTGCGGGTGTTATCAAACTTTTCAGGGGGGGGGGAGGCTGCGTCCTTTAGGCTGCAGGTTGCCCAGTCCTGCTTTGGAATATTGATTAGTTTGTTTCAGAAGTTTGAAAATGGATTGTTCTTTTGGTCTAATTTTTTTTCATGCAATATGACCTGACTTTAATATCACTAGCTAGAAACATATTTTTTTATTTTTAATATAGTAGGCTATGAGTGCAGAATGGAATTGGCAAACCAACATTAGGTCTAAAAAAATTTTTTTTTTACTATAAAAAATTTTACCTTCACAATGAATATTTTCTAAAATTTTCAAATATTGTGACAATACAGGTGGGAGACAACCAGTGTCTGCTCCAGTCCTTGAAAGACTCACCCTACTACAAGAGTTTTGAGGACAAGGCGTCCGTGTGGGAGCAACGTCTGGCTGACCTGGATGAATACCTGCACAATCTGAACCAGATCCAACGCAAGTGGGTCTATCTGGAACCCATCTTTGGCAGGGGGGCATTGCCCAAGGAGCAAGGAAGATTCAAAAGAGTTGATGATGACTTCAGGTCTGTAACCAATTTTACTTTATATCAGTATCTGTACATTTTTTGCAACGTACTAATCCATACTTTTTTTAAAAATTGTGTTACAGTAGATATAGGGATATATATATATGTGTGTGTGTGTGCATCACAGAAACATCATGAGAGACGTCAACCGCGACAACCGGGTACTCTCACTGGTTAACCAGTCTGGCCTGAGAAACCTTTTGGTCACCATGCTTGACCAGCTGCAGAGATGTCAAAAGTCACTCAATGAATTTCTTGAGGTAATTAAAAAAATTTTAAATTTTAAAACATTTGTCTCTCACCTATTATGAATCAGTTGGAAACATCCTGACTTCTTAACGAGCCATCAACTGCTCAAAAGTATTTTGTGTGATTGTCACTCAAAATATTAATGCAGAGAGACTTTTTTTTTTCCCTCTGAGACAGCGTTATAGTCTTTAACGAAGATTGTATAAATTGGTTAGCAGGAACATGTAGCAATTTTGATATTTTTTCCCCCTGTGCTGAATCGGATTAATTTTTCCCATGACAGGAGAAAAGATCTCTGTTTCCACGCTTCTATTTCATTGGTGATGATGACCTGTTGGAGATTCTAGGTCAAGCCACTAACCCGACCGGTAAAAATTTGTTCACAAATTGAGTTTCAAGACTTGGGGTTCTCTTCTCTTTGGGTTAAAAATACACTGATGAATTTTACAAATTCATGAATTTGTTATTGATATTATTTTAGTATAAATATGGGGTTCATGCCCTGGTTGTAGCTCTGACTACAGGGTCATGCCCTGGTTGTAGCTCAGACTACGGGGGTCACACCCTGGTTGTAGCTCAGACTACAGGGGTCATTCCCTGGTTGTAGCTCAGACTACAGGGGTCATTCACTGGTTGTAGCTCTGACTACAGGGGTCATTCCCTGGTTGTAGCTCTGACTACAGGGGTCATTCCCTGGTTGTAGCTCTGACTACAGGGGTCATTCCCTGTTTGTAGCTCAGACTACAAGGGTCATTCCCTGGTTGTAGCTCTGACTACAGGAGTCATTTCTTGGTTGTAGCTCTAACTACAGGGGTCATTCCCTGGTTGTAGCTTAGAATACATGGGTCATTCCCTGGTTGTAGCTCAGACTTTAGTCGGAAGGGTTCAACTCAATCCTTGTGTTACGTTAAAAGGTGTATAAATTGCTTTATTTTAAGGATTAGTGCCTTAAATGTTTCTATTTGACTTATTAAGTCATTAAATCCACTGTACCAGTGTGCTCTAAGATATCACTGTTTGTTCATCTTAGTTGGTTCAACATTTTGGCAAACTTGTTCAGTTCGTAACAGTCACCTTTGTTACTAACATATTTAACCTAACACCTGTGCACGTCTCACAGTTATCCAGTCTCACCTGAAGAAGCTGTTTGCTGGAATCCATGCTGTTGAGTTTGATGAAGACAACAGCCACATAGTTGCCATGAAGTCTCTGGATGGGGAAGTTGTGCCCCTCAAGCGAAAGGTCAAGATCATGCCAGAGGTTGAGGTCAGTAAAATATGAGGCTAGTTATTGGTGGTTTTATGAGATTGATGGTTTTTTATAAAATTTATAGAGCAACTGCTGACCTGTATAATAGTAAATAACTAAGCCATTAGCTTTTTTATACTCTCATTAATATATTATTCTCGATCACATCTTTTAGCTCATATCCTCTATCTCTACTGCCAGGTTTGGTTAGGAAAACTAGCTGATGAAATGAAGGACACTCTGAAGGAATGTCTGACAGCATGTTTGAAAGATGCAAAGTCCAGTCGTGGGGGCCTAGATCCTAACAAGTTTCCATCTCAGGTACAAGTTTAGATAATAAAAAACATATTGTAAAAAAACAACCTGATATCTCTGATCATATCTTGACTTTGATTTCAAGGTATTAACTCCAAGGGGGGGCTACAAGTACCAATAAAAAGTTCTCTATGGCTTGTGTCATGGCTTCTGCTTAAAGCCACTGAGGATCAGGTCCAGCTCTTGATCTCCTTATGTGGCTTAGTCTCAAAAACTATTTCCGCAACAGGAATAGGGTACGGTCATTGGCACCTTAAAACTGTGAGACATTTTACAAGTCTGAATATTCCCAACTAATGCAGTCCCCATTTTTTCAGATCCTATGTTTGGCAGAATACATCAGGTTTACTGAGAACTGCGAGGAGGCCATCAAGAGGAACAGCCTCCGAGACTTGATGGGGGAGGTAGAGGGGCAGCTGGAGAGCTACACAAATGTGGATCTTGGCGGTGTGCAGAGTACAGAGGCTGCAGGTGAGTGGCATGGGGAATGTTAAGCGTTAAAGTTAAAATCTGATGGTATAAGGTTGTACAATTCTAAATGTCACAATAGTAAATCAATGCTTGGTGAAATTTTTGTTGAAGGACAATTTAACCATATCTTGAACTTTGTACGAAAGAAATTTATTCGAAAGAATATTGTTTGACAGAAGTTTGTTTGAAATTTAATTTTTTAAACTGATTACTTGTAATGTTTTTAGGGAAAGTGCGAGAGAGAATGTGAAAAATTGTAACTTTTAAATAAACTGTAATTTGTTGGTTTTTTTCCCATTATTTCATTTTGAACAAATTTCCGTTAAAAAAATATTTCGGTTTCAAGAAACTTCCATCAAACAATTTCCTTTGAGCAAATTCCTTTCATACAATTTTACAGTAACCAAAGAATTAAAAACTTAATCACACAGATTAGCACTCACCTTATGTAGCTGAGTAACTGTTGTCATGGTTGATCTTCCAGTTCTGCAGCTTAAACTGAAGGCCTTGATTCTGGACACCATTCACAACATGGATGTGGTGCAGCAGCTGATGTCAGCAAATGTCAAGGCTATTCAAGAGTGGCAGTGGCAAAAACAGCTCAGGTTGGTCAGCCATGTTGGTTTTCTCAGTAGATATTTTTTTGAGGTGATTCTTTACTCACCAGCAGAACAAGTTCTGAACATTTTTTTAAAATGACCAAGAAATATTTCATGTCTGACTTTTTAAAGCACTGCACTTTTAATTTAAGGTTTAGTCTATCCTAGATGTATTTTTATATCTTCTTGTTTTATTAGATACTACATTCGAAAAGATGGTGTGTGCATTATGCAGATGGTAGACTCAGAGTTTGAGTACACATTTGAATACCAGGGCAATGCAGCCAAGTTGGTCCACACACCACTGACAGACAAGTGTTACCTGACACTCACCCAAGGTAAGTCACAGCCTTGAAGATGGACTAATTAAAATGTTCATGTACATCAACTTTATTTTTTCCATTAATTACTTCAAGCTATTTCAAAATGCAGTCATTATTTTCAAAAGTGTAAAGAATTATACATGACTTTCACAGATATGTTTGAATTTTTAAATTAAAAAATCAGTATAATTTCTTTGAACAAATTTATATTGAAAAACTTGTTTTTTTAATTAGGTATGCATATGGGGCTTGGTGGTAACCCGTATGGCCCTGCAGGTACAGGCAAGACAGAGTCTGTCAAAGCTCTGGGAGGTTTGTTTGGTCGACAGGTTCTTGTCTTCAACTGTGACGAGGTGAGTTAACTCCGATTAGACATCCAGAAACCATAAAAGGTTACATTCTTAAAGTTAAAAATTTTGAAATGACCAATGTAAGTATGTGGATAAGGGTTTTAATTAACCACATTCTGGTCGGGTCGTTAGTGTACAGCTGCAAATGATCAACGGCTTAAGGTTATTCACAGTCTGAACAAGTGTTTTTTTTAAAACAGTGGTTAAGAATTAATGGTTTATTTATCAGTATTTGATAATGTGTTAGTAAACATAGACAAATGACAGGTGACAACACTTCATTGTGATTCAATGTGAGAGGCTGTCCAATCCAAAAAAATATTATCTTTTATTAGAAATAAGTGCACACTTTCAAATTGTTTTTTTAGGGCATTGATGTCAAGTCAATGGGGAGGATATTCATTGGTTTAGTCAAATGTGGAGCTTGGGGCTGTTTTGATGAGTTCAACCGTCTGGAGGAAGCCGTGCTGTCTGCTGTCTCAATGCAGATCCAGGTCATACAAGATGCCATCAAAAGCAAGGCCAGATCCATTGAACTGCTGGAGAGAAATGTAGGCCAGCTTATATAGAAATTATTATTAACTAATAGATCTCAAGATCATATTTTTTTAAATTGTATGATTGAAATTGTTTAGCCAGAACTCTTATTATCAGAGTTTGATTGAATTTTTTTGTTTAAATCTCATTTCTAGAGAAACTGATTTTTCAAGGTCTTTCTACCATAATAATAATGATAAAGAGTATGAACTTATTTTTTATTTATTTTTGAAAAAGTTTCTTTTTTTTATCTTGATAAAATCTAAACCATTATTTCCAAGTCTATGAATGATTAAAATGTCGACGCTGTGTCATCAGGTGGATATTGATCACAATTCAGGAATCTTCATCACCATGAACCCTGCAGGCAAAGGTTATGGTGGCAGACAGAAGCTACCTGACAATTTGAAACAGTTGTTCCGACCTGTAGCCATGTCGAAACCAGACAATGACCTAATTGCTGAGGTCATTCTGTTCTCAGAAGGATTTAAGCAAGCCAAGAATCTGGGTAGAAAGCTGGTCAGCATCTTCAACCTGTCTAAGTAAGATTTACATGTCAAATATTTGCATCTTCAACCTGTCCAAGTAAGATTTACCTGACAAATATTTTGCATATTTAACCTTTTTGAGTAAGATTTACCTGACAAATATTTTACTGTAAGCATTGAACTTTATTTTCACAAATAGAATTTTAAATGTGATCATTGTCATTGTAACCATTAAACAATGGCTTAGTTTCATAAGCTTAGCTCTCTTGTCATTGTCATCTTCCCTCTAGACTTCTGTTTAAGCCTTTTGTTTTTATTGATATTACTTGTGTTATCAAGCAACATGGGAATATTTTATAACTGTATTTGATTTTCTCAAATCTCTGTTCCTATCATATTATAATCTAAAACAAGCCTGCAGGATCATTTATTATGTTTTTAGAGAGATTTTTAAGATGTCAATTACTATGTGATTAATTTATTCAAAATTAAGAATTAATTTTTTAAAATCTTTAAAAGTAATTTTTTTTAAAATCTCATCCAGTTGAGAAAGTCTTAAGTAGGAAATTTGTAAAAAGCAATTTTTAATTAAAATTAGGGAATTGCTGACCCCACAACAACACTATGACTGGGGACTGAGAGCTTTGAAGACAGTGCTCAGTGGGTGTGGAAACCTTTTACAAATTGCCAAGAAAAATGGCAATGGTAGGTAACTCTTAGACATATGATTGAATTCTTCTGATCTGAATAGTCCTTTTGGCTTGCATGTTCTGCAAATATCTGTTAAACTTCACACAAAAATAAGATGACTGATTTTCTCAATGCCTACTTACATGCAATTTTATAAGTAGCTTTCCATCTCCAAAAGTTAAAAAATAAATATGTTTCACTCAGATCCTACTATTAAATGTCAAAATAATATTCTAAAAATTATTTTTCTTAAAGTAAAATCTGACAGCAACCTGGAGCCCAAACTGGTTGTCCAGGCCCTGAGAATCAACACGTTGTCCAAGCTGACTTTTGCTGACAGTTCTCGCTTTGATGCCCTTGTCAAAGATGTCTTCCCTGGTGTAGAGTTCAAGGACATTGAGTATGAGACTTTGGGAGCTGCATTCAAGGAAGTTTGTGCTGAGAGCAATTTGATTGTGAATGAAAACCAGGCAAGTACCCATGTTATTGTTGTAGTTTTTTTACCTAAAAATATAGAGGCAAATTTGGGGTAGCACTCATTGGGAATCTTATAAAGTGTGGTACTTTGATGCATGTATTGTCAAGTTACTTCAGCAGATGGGAAGTTCACAGCATTGCAGCTGCCATTGTCTTGGCGGGCAAGTAAACTTAATAATATGGAATGATTTGATTCATTTTGCTGATTTTTACATTTAATATTATAAAATTCCAACAACTCGTGTTTTTAAAATAAGTTTAGTTAAATAAACCAGAGTACATTACAAAAAAAAATATTTTTTTAAAAATGAACAAAATTTCATCAGTTATTTTTCTGTAGTTCATACCTAACTGAAAACTATCTTGCATGATTAGGTGAAGAAAGCACTGGAGCTGTATGAACAGCTGCGACAGAGAATGGGTGTTGTCATTGTGGGCCCAAGTGGTTCAGGAAAGACAACCCTCTGGAAGATCCTGCGCCAAGCCATGATTAAACTTGGCAAAAATGTCAAACAGTACGTGATGAATCCTAAAGCCATGCCCAGGACTCAGGTACTGAACTTTCTATCTCTGATCAAGTTCTCGGGTGTTTAATGTAAAGAAATCTTAAATTATGTTTTTTTTTTGTTTACTTGAAAAAGATGACTTAATTTTGGGGGGAAATTTTTCAGCTTCTAGGTCAGATAGACATGGACACAAGAGAGTGGACAGATGGTGTTCTCACATACAGTGCAAGGCAAGTGGTCAGGGAGCCACAAGGTCAGTAGTATGTTATGAATATTATCATGGTCTGTGGTGGTCAAATGGGACAATCCAGTGCATTTGATATAGTGGTACAATTGGGGATATTTTGTCAAATGGGTAAAATGATTAAATCAGTTCAGTGTATCTGGTCTAATGGTACGATCCAGGGTATCTGGTCTAATGTTACAATCCAGGGTATCTGGTCTAATGGTACAGTCCAGGGTATCTGGTGTAATGGTACAATCCAGGCTATCTGGTCTAATGGTACAATCCAGGGTATCTGGTCTCATGGTACAATCCAGGGTATCTGGTCTCATGGTACAATCCAGGGTATCTCGTCTCATGGTACAATCCAGGGCATCTGGTCTAATGGTACAATCCAGGGTATTTAGATGTTATATTTTGTACATGTTTGCTAAATAACCTCATATATATCATCACATTCTAGATTAATTTATTTTTGTATAATAATTTGGTTAAATAGTAAAGAGGCACAACCATTGTCAAGTAGGATAACTCATTAAGTAAAGATAAATAAATAAATAATTATTAAACACTGACAAATAAAATTGATATTTTGTTTATTGAATTTTTTCTATAGATGTTCAGTCTTGGATTATCTGTGATGGGGACATAGATCCGGAGTGGATCGAGTCCCTGAACTCTGTACTCGATGACAACCGCTTGCTAACCATGCCATCAGGGGAGAGAATACAGTTTGGGCCAAATGTAAACTTCCTGTTTGAAACACATGATTTAAGCTGTGCTTCACCCGCCACCATCTCTCGCATGGGTATGATATTTCTCAGGTCAGTCCAAGAGGTTTTTTTCATGTTACATTCAATCTTTTCTCATAAAACAGAGGTTCCTACCTAAACTGTGGGTCCATGACTGCATAGCATACTACTTGTAGACCCCAAACCACACAGGTAAGTTTGTTTATGATACAGCTTGATCTGGTTAAATTTATTTATGATACAAGTTGATCTAGTTAAACTTGTTTATGATACAGCTTGATCTGGTTAAACTTGTTTATGATACAGCGTGATCTGGTTAAATTTGTTTATGATACAATGGCTATTGGTGCATCTTTCAAGGCTTACTATTAACCAGAAATTATTTAAAATATTTTGGACAAAATTTAAGTACTGGATTTGTAAAGAATTTGATTTTTTAAAAGATAAATTTGATCATACAAACTGTACCGTTTTTAGTAGAGCTTATGATGATATATCTAAATTCCAATAGAGATATGATTTTAAAATGTCTTCCATTCAAAACTTTGATATATTTTTTTAAATAACAAATTTTTGGATTATTTTATTCCAGTGATGAGGATGTTGATGTGAAAGCATTGGTCAATGCCTGGCTGACCACACAACCTGAGAGTGACCAACACATAATGGCTGGTTGGATTGAGGATCATTTTTATAAAGGTCTGCAGTGGGTCCTGAAACAGGTATTAAACCTTAACTAACTCTATTCATATTTATTCAACTGAAACCCCTCAAACATCTTTATATAGGGAAGGAAAAAGTAGACGTTTTGTGCAAAGTTTCATGTAACGATTTGGTGAGGACTAAAGATTAGCTTAATATTAGGAGTATTTTTTTTCTTTTATTTGTAACTCTGGGTTAATCTAAAATGAAATGTTGATAGGGCATTACGGCATGATAAATGTATTTTCCAAATAAATCCTTAGTTTTTTTTAAAATCCAGACCAAAAGTCTCAGGTATAGTTAAGTCCCACAACTGTATCATGGCTAAGAAATTATTCAAAATGATCTAATGTTGATAACAAATGTGTCTCAGAATGACCTGGTGGTGGAGACAACTCTTGTGGGAATAGTGCTCAACGGGCTGTCCCATCTCCACCATGTGCAAAGTAAAGCTCACTTTGCTGTCTGTCTCATCCACGGCCTCGGAGGAAACCTTAGTGAAGGATCCAGAGAAATTTTCGCCAAAGAGGTCTGTTTGTATTATGTATAGTTTATGTTTATTTTATGTACAACAATTCATTTTACGATAAAATTATTATAAACTAGGCACACAAAAAAGATATGCCTTATGCAATGACAATTTTTAAAATAAATATTGTATTCATATATATACATAAATATTCACATTATTGGAGTTAGAATATATCATAAATTTTATTTATTTATAGCAATTTACAAAGAATAGAAATTTTAAAATATATATTAAATTTCATGCTAGCCTGTTGTATCTGAATTATATTTGTATATTAATGTAGGATAACGAATGATAATTTTAGGTCTTCTCATGGACGGGAGAAATGCCACCTGACTCACGTCACCCCCTGGACACATATTATGATGACAGTGTTGGAAGACTGATGCAGTACAACATGGAGGTACTATCAAATATCGTGATCTCAGACATTTATTTCATATTTTGGATCCCTCTCTAAGATATATTGTTTAGTTATGCATATTGCTTGGGTGCTGCAATGGCTGAGAAAGAGCTCATTTAATGGAAACAGTAGTTTTCTTTGATTCCTTAAAAATGTGTAATTTTGAAATTTATAAGTTTAAAAATCCATGACAGAATTTTTATTAACGAGCTTTAGAAATAAATTTTAAAAAAAAAATATAATTAATCATATTAATCAAGTGATATTTGATATTAACTGTAATTCTGTGGGTGCATGGTGGCCAAGTGGTCTAAACTAAGTTAATCCAAAAAGCTGGTGGTCTGTAGTTCAATCTGAATTCAAACCCAGAGTCCTTTAGGGATAACATTGACACAATGAAAATTCTTGCACTTCTCACTTCTACAACCCTAATAGTGCCAAGCTGTATCATCCACACATGATGTTACAGGAGAGAGACGATTTGCTGTCTAAGGAACCAGCCTAAAGAATCCCAGTCCTTGTGATTTCGTCACATTGTTTCCAGAAAAAAAAAATTCATATTAAATTAATCAAGTGATACTTTGCTTTTGCAGAAAGTTGATGAGCTCAGAGTGGAGAACTTCATGTCATCAACATCTCTGCCAGTGATCAGAACTGGAGATGTACAGAGGGCGCTGGACTACTTCCTCCCTTGGCTGGAGGCAGACAACAAACAGCCATTCATCATCTGTGGACCAGAGGGCTGTGGCAAAGGGTAGGAATATACATTGAATCCCTGACCAAAGTGATGCCTACATCATCCAATAAATCATGAACCAATAGTCACTCAGTTAATGAAATTGTAACTTAGTGTTATCAGTTATATATCTGCATTGTATCAGGTAATTATATAAAGTTTTTGTTTTTTTTAAATTATTCATTAGCCATGTGTGGTAGCCATTTAGCTATTGACTTGAAATATTAAACTTAAATAGGTCTACTTAAATCTCATCAACCTTTGACACAGACTCCTCCTGCGTCATGCCTTTGAAAAGTTGAGATCCACTCAAGTGGCCATGGTCCACTGCAGTGCTCAGACAACTCCGTCCCACATCCTCCAGAAGCTGAATCAAACCTGTATGACCATCAGCACCAACACTGGCCGTGTCTACCGGCCCAAGGACTGTGAACGTCTGCTGCTCTACCTGAAGGACATCAACCTTCCGAAACCTGACAAATGGGGAACATGCCAGATGATTGCCTTTCTGCAGCAGGTAAGTGGCCCTAATAATCCCTAGAGTTGAAAACTAGTTATACAAGTCTATGCTTAAAATAAAAAAATGTAAGGTTTGAATGAGTTCTTTTCTTTTGTTATTTTATTAAAATTGAATAAAAACAATGTAGCATAATGAGTGAATTTAAAAAAAAAAATGAAGTTTTTAAATGAATAAAACCCTTGAAGTTCATATAAATTTAACTGCAGATAATAATCAATCTCTAGGTTTGCGATGATCAGTATCAGCTTTATTTTATTAATAATTGTTTGTTTTTGTTTTTTTCAAATTTTGTTATATTTGTGTAGGTTTGTCTGAGAATTATATCTTGGCAGGGCAAATGATTCATTTCATTATGAACAGGTTGTGACCTACAATGGTTTTTATGATTCCAACCTGGAATGGGTTGGCCTAGAAGGAGTTCAAATTGTTGCCAGCATGAATGCAAGCTCTACACTTGGGCGTCACAAGCTCACAACCAGATTCACATCAGTGGTCCGCATCTGCAATGTAGGGTGAGTCCTTATCTGTAATGTGGGGTGAGTCCCTGAGTCCTGCCTTGATTAAGGCCTCCTTTGATTGAGTCCTTCTTTGATTGAATCCTTCTTTGATTGAGTCGTTCCTTGATTGAGTCCTTCATTGAATAAGTCCTTCTTTGATTGAGTCCTTCCTTGATTGAGTCCTTCCTTTGATCAGCTGCATGCTAGAAGTTTATTAATCATCAATAAAAGTCTTAAAGTTAAATTGTTTGTATAGGCCTATATATTCTTTCTGCACCTGATATGATCTAGGAGATATTAATCATTTTTATCTTTATAAATAACAACCACTGAAGTCATTTTCTAATAACTAGTCATGATTGCTTCATTTTCTAATGACTAGTCAGGATTGCTTCATTTTCTGTTGTTCTTTTTTACATGCCAAAGAACAAATACATTATTTTTTAAATGTTTATTCTACCAATGATTTCATTGTATTTACTTCTATTCACAAATAAAAATCTAACAGCAGATAAATACAACAAAATAGCATTAAAAACAAACACAATAGCATCAGGTAAAAATAACTGCACAATATATTCACAGGTACCCTGACCGAGACCAGCTCCAAACTATCTATGCCGCCTACCTGAAGCCCATCTTACATCGCCAGTTGGCCAAGCACTCAGTTTGGGGGAGTAGTTCAAAAGTTCATGCCCTGGCCAACAGCATGATCCAGTTCTATGAACAGGTAATGACAATGACAATAAAAAAACTTAAATTAACATAAGAGATTTGTTGTTTTTTTCTGTTATGTTTTTCCCAGTTTAAAAAAAATTGAGTATTTAAAGCTTTAATTAATTTTTTGGTCATCTACATTTTCCTTCTACAAAATTAAGTTGTGAAACTTTAAATATTTTACTGCTTACTTAATTTGAGAGTATGATATTGCTGGAGTGTTTGTGTGAAAAATATGGTCATTCAGATTGATTTGAAATGTCATTTTACTATATTCATAATTTTTTCTTTGAATCTTAGTTTAATTAGGAGGGCCATGTGATTTGCTTCTCAATTACTTCTTGATTTGAAGTTAATTTAAATAATGACTATATCTAACATAAAATTGAAGCTGAGGAGCAGATTTACAGTAGATGACTACAGCCATTACCTATTCACACCTCGTGATCTTACCAACTGGGCCATGAGTCTGCTGCGTTACGACCTGACAGCTGGCGCTAAAGATAACACTGATGACACCGTGCTGGAAATCTGGGCATATGAGGCTCGCAGATTGTTCCGTGACAGGATCGTGGGTCAGGACAACCGCAGCAAGTTTGACAACATGTTGCAGTCTGTTGTGAGGTCGGACTGGTCAGCAAATATTTTTGATAATTTAGACAGTAAGTAATTTTTTGTTCAATTTGTCAACCTAAAATGTCTGCCCTCTTGGACCTTTCTTTTTATCAAATGTTAAACTATAAATATTGATTTGAGTATTTGGGGAAGGAGTTTTAGTCTCAATTTAGTAACAGAGTTCAATTTAAGAAACAACTTTTGTTACATGAGGTTGATTTGAGCAAAAAAAACAAATCAATTTTATATCAGTTTCTGAAGATACAACTTCCTTATTCTATTTTAATTGTTATTGTTAAATATGTATTTCTTTTTTATTAAACATAATACACTCAGGAACATATGTATCTAAGATTCCGGCATTGAGAAAAATTTATATATTTGTTGTGATGAATATATGCATGCTGTATTTTCACTGGTGCGCAGAACTTGGTTAGAGCAACCAACGCCATTTATGTCCGTATATTAATCCACAAACTCAGCTATTTACCCGCGGGGGTCTTTTAATAAATTTGTAATGCTCATCACTCTGCCTCACCAGACACTTTCTTTGTGACATGGGGTGCCCGGGCGGATTCAGGGGCCCCAGCGGTCGGGGCTGGAGCACCCTTACCACCACATGGTAAACCTCTTGGAAAACTCTCAGAGGAAGACTTGAAAGCTGTGGTTGAGAAGGGCATCAGATTCTACAGTAAGTCTTTATAATATATAGATCCAAGAGACATTAATCAGATTCTACGGTAAGTTTTTATAGTGCATGGATACAAGAGACATCTTCAGATTCAACAGTAGGTTTTCATCATTTGTTTTCGTCCAAAGCACAATATCCGATTTTTGGTAAGCTTCAAAATCTCAAGCCACAAGGGGCATCACCTTCTTAAAAAAATGATTAATAAATTGTCTTTACTAATATTTTCTATCTTATCAAGTTAGCTAAATTGATATTTTTTCCAGGTCATGAAAACAGGCAACTAGACATTCTGATATTCCGTGAAGTTTTGGAAAACATGGCCCGCGTGGATCGTGTTTTGAGCAAACCCGGTGGCTCCCTCTTGATGGCAGGAAGTAGTGGCGTGGGTCGTCGTACGGCTGTCAGCGTGGTCGCTCACATGCACCAGATGCAAACCTTCTCACCTAAAGTGTCCAGGGGCTACACCATAAAGCATTTTAAAAATGACTTGAAACAGGTTAACACTGAGTAAATTTTTTTTACAATTTTTTTATTTGGTCTATACAAAGCTGTGAAGAAGGAAATGTAAAAACCAAAAAAATTGCTCATTAGCAGCGGATAGTACTCAAGATATCTATTTGAACTAAAATATAAATTTCTATTTGCACTTAATAAATTAAACAAATTTTTTAGACAACATATGTTCTTTTACAATGGTGTATGCAAAATATAATCTTTAACATGTAGGTTTCATCTAATGGCACGATTCCTTTTTTTTTTTATCCGACGAAGTGTGTAGGTTATGTTTCTGTACTGTGCGGGTGATTTTGAACTTTTTGGGTGACTTTGAAAAAGGTGATTTTTCACATGCAAATACTATAGCTAGACCCCATAAAGTTTATATTTATTGAAATTAGACTCAGTGGGGAATCATACTGGCTATTTTTTAATGATATTTTATATGCACTGACCGTGACCTTGACCTTGGAGTGACCAAAAATAATGAAAATTTGTATTTTCAAGTACCTCAAACTTCATTTTTTTTTAAAGGCATATTATTATAATGTTTAAATAATATTATAAAATTTTTATATATCTTTCAGAAAATGTATTATTTAGATGTTTTAGTTATTAATAGATTTAAAAAAACAAAATTCTTCTAATACCTATAATTACATTCAAGTAACCAAGCCCGACATAAAAAATATAAACATTACTAAATAGCATGAAACAGATAAAATGTAAATAGCTGCTATATAAATATTTAATCCATAAAATGCAATATAATAAAACATGTATAGAACAACATCCAATAATTTTTTGTTGGTACAAAATCATTTGCAACATAATTTTGAACGAATCATGTTTTTGCTGGAAAGCATACTCGTTCTAGGCCTAGGTCTAAATCGTCCAAACTTTCACTTTCTGAGCCAATAGAAAAATAATTGGAATTATCATTGTCTATGTGTGTAATTGGAAAATCATCTTTTGAATCCATTAAGTCATTAACTAATAAGAATTATCAAAAAGATTCCTAACTGATTTATTTTGTAAGCCAGATGGTCCATCTATGGCCTCATCCATTTTGCGAAAATCTACTTACACAAATTTGCTTGATAAAGATTGTTGTAAAAAATAACTCCAAAGTTTAGAAAAGGACACAGAGGCACAAAAAATGGAAGTTTATTTATTTTAAAAGGAAGGTGTAAAATATTGGACTGGAACTTATTCTTTCAACACAATTTTTATTGGCCGTTTTTATCAGCCGACACAGTTTAGAAAGAGAGAGATCGGCCTACCACATTTTGTGGGTTGAAATAAAAATGAAACCAGTTGATGCATGTGAAATTTATGGAAATTAGTTGACAACGTTCTTCTACATTATAATTTTTACAAGTAATAATATTTTGTTCCCAAGACTGATCTGAAGTGATCTAAATGATGGCTTTTACCTTTGAGTATTTCTGTTCATTAAAACAGGGTTTTTAAGTGGTCCATTATGTCCTAAAAGGTTAATTGATATTTCGCCAATAAGTTCATTGTTCCACCTCTAATATGTCCCCCCATCCCCTCACTCCTCCAGGTGATGCAGCTTGCTGGTATTGAAGGAGAGCAGGCCGTTTTGTTGCTAGAAGATCACCAGTTCATTGAGCCACAATTCCTGGAACTCATCAACAGTCTCCTTTCAGCAGGGGAAGTACCCGGACTTTACTCACCCGAGGAGCTAGAGCCCTTGCTGACCCCACTGAGGGATATGGCATCAGAGGTCGGCTTCAGGGGGAGCCTCATCAGTTTCTTTGCTTCTCGTAAGTTGGCTTCTCTTATAGGACTAAACTTTTTGCTGTTTATAATTTGTTTCTGCCTTAATTAAACCAAACTTTTCAGCTAACTCCATCTCTTTAGATCCTTAGCCAAATGTCACATAAACTGCCCATAATCTGCCTGTGGTCCTGTGGTATTCAATGAGAAACTGTGCTTTGCTAACCCCAGGGTATAGAATTTATACCTTATTTATACATTGTTTACTTGAATAGTTTCCCCTGGTTGGCCCACTTCATGCTGCTTAGTGCACGTAACATCACTGAGGAAGGCAAGGTTGAATTTGTACCTAAAGATTTTATATTGGGCCTATTTTTTTGTGAATGTGCTGCTAAGACACTGCAGAACTTATAAGTTGTCACTTACAACTTTTTGATTGGGGGGCAACGGAACTACTTCACTATTGGTCAGTTTCAGACCTCTTGACCCATTCGATTGATAGCTACAAGAAGTATAAATTATCTCAACAAAGTCATTTTACCACCATATTTTGTAAGGCCTTGTGATACCATTGTTTCAGGTGTCATGCACAACCTCCATGTTGTCCTGGTCATGGACAGTAGCAATAGCAGCTTTATCCTGAACTGCGAGAGCAACCCTGCCTTGTACAAGCAGTGCTCAGTGCAGTGGATGGAAGGCTGGAGCAGAGAGAGCATGGTGAAGGTACAGCAGACAAACTTTCATCAGCTATTAAAGTTTAAACCAGCTCATATCTTCTGGGCTGTTTGTGTGACGTACATGAAAGGAGGAAGGCCTCACCGTGAAAGAATATATTCTAAATTTGGGAAATTCAGTGAAATAATTTAACTGTATCTGTAATTTGATTTTTTTAAAACTAAATTTTTAACAGCTGGGGAGTTAAGTCAATCTTACTTCAATCATTGGTTATTTAAGGTCTGAGGAATTCATAAATTTTGGTACCATCTTTCATACACTGTAAAAAAAAAAAAATTGAATTAAAAGAAATAAAGGTGATTTTAACATTGGGAATATTAATCTTCTCTCCCCATTGTGAAATTTCATCATTTTATAATAAATATTTAGACTGAAAAAAACATGTTCTAAAATCCTGTAAATATTATTTAATTTAGCAATAAAGACTGGTTCAAAAATTTTGCAAATTATTAATTACAAAAAAAATGTGACAAAATTTATCTTGACTTCTCAAAAAACTAAAATTGAAAAGATTTTTGTAAACTTAGAATGTTAATCCTAACTTTTGAAATTTACCTTGTAGTTGCAATTTTTTTACTTTTGATTTGTGTACTTTGATTTGTTTACTTTGATTTGTTTACTTTGAACTTCCTTTTACAGGTTCCATGGATGCTGCTGACCAGACCTCCTAAGATAGAAGGAGGGTCTATAGGTGAGGGCAAAGGTCACAAGAAGAAACTTTCAGGCGGTGAAGAACTGCTCAAGTGTTTCCTTCATGTCCACGAGTCCTGCGGGGCCCTCGGGGCAACACCTCGACGTTACATGGTCTTCCTCAACACATACCAGGCAGTCTATGAGAAGAAGAAACGGAGCATCACAGACAAACAACACCACCTTCAGGTAATATGTCTCACTGTTTTGTACACAAAAACATCACCTTCAAGTAATTGTTGTGAATATATAAAGTTGTTGAAAATGATTTGTCTTTAAATTATTGCCATTATCAAAATAAATGAAATGCTTCCTTTAATGTTAAGGCTGGCGTGTCCAAGCTGAATGATGCCAAAGTTCTGGTGGATGAGCTCAAGAGAAAAGCTGGTGAACAGAGTGTACAACTGGCAGAGAAGCAGGCGGAAGCAGACTCTGCCCTCAAGGAGATTACTGTAAGTAGGACATGCCAAGTTATTGACTGGTAGATTACTGTAAGTAGGACATGCCAAGTTATTGACTGGTAGATTACTGTAAGTAGGACAAGCCAAGTTATTGAATAGTAGCTTACTGTAAGTAGGATATGCCCAAGTTATTGACTGGAAGATTACTGTAAGTAGGACAAGCCAAGTTATTGACTGATAGATTACTGTAAGTAGGAAAAGCCAAGTTATTGACTGGTAGATTACTGTAAGTAGGACAAGCCAAGTTATTGACTGGTAGATTACTGTAAGAAGGACATGCCAAGTTATTGACTGGTAGATTACTGTAAGTAGGACAAGCCAAGTTATTGACTGGTAGATTGCTGTAAGTAGGACATCCCAAGTTATTGACTGGTAGATTACTGTAAGTAGGACAAGCCAAGTTATTGACTGGTAGATTACTGTAAGTAGGACATGCCAAGTTATTGTAATTAGTTTTTGTAGTGCTGAGTTTGTTTTAAATGTGGTAAATTATAAATTTGTTTTTTTGTTGACTTTGTACCGCGCTTCGAGCCTTTGGGGATGAAGCGTGTTTTTGAAATGAACTTTATTATTATTATTATTATTATTGACTGGTAGATTACTTTAAGTAGGACAGCCAAGTTATTGACTGGTAAATGGACAACATAATTAGGGATATCTATCTTTCTTAAAGCTTTCTTGTCTTTTCTTTTTAAGCATAAAATATTACACACATCTTCAAAATGTTTTGAAAAGCATCATGTGTCTTGTAATCAGTGTCTTGTAATCAGAAAATCGGAATGGGAACTTGAAGAAAATTTTTTGTTAGCCAAATCAATTATTGCTGTCTTTTTAAACAGAATTTACCCACACACTTGTAAATTCTTTTTTTTTTTTTTTTTCATGTGGGTGGGAGGTTGGTTATACATTCTGTTTTTCTTTAATATGACAGTTAATATTTTGCATTTTTTTTCCGGTACACAAGTTGATGATTTTTTAAAATATTTTTTTTTTAAACAGAATTTACCCACACACTTGTAAATTCTTTTTTTTTTTTTTTTCATGTGGGTGGGAGGTTGGTTATACATTCTGTTATTCGTTAATATGACAGATAATATCTTGCATTATTTATCCGGTACACAAGTTGATGATTTTTTAAAATATTTTATATTATCTATTATTACCCATTTCTCTCTGATCTTTGCAATGTCCATGATATTGACCAATCAAGCTATTGACCTAATTTCAGTTGTCACTTATTTGATTTTTTTTAACTTCCTACAGGCAAGTATGCAGAATGCTGGAGACCAGAAATTAGAGATGGAAGAGTTAAAGAAGAGTGCAGCAGAAGAGAACAAAGTTCTAGAGAAGAGGAAAAAAGCTATTGACATAGAATTAATGGAGGCATGTGAAAAAGGGGCTAACCATTAGTATTTAAATTATTGTATACATCTTCTAACTTAAATAAACTTACATTTCTTTGTAATATTTAAAAATAGACTTTATGAATACAATTAGTTTACTTTTATTTCATTTTCTATCATCAATATATTTTAGTTTTAGCTCAAAATTATTCCTTCAGTTAATTTTTGTAATTATCAACTAACTTCATTCAATTAACAGATATGTAATTATAAATTAAAAATATGTATATAAATTTTAAACAAAATGTTTGAAGCAACAGAAAATGCTTTAGAAATGCCATATTAATACAAACTATAACAAAAAATTCTGTTCATGCAGGTGGAGCCACTTGTCCAGGAGACTCGTAAAGCTGTGGGAAGCATCAAAACAGAAGCTCTTGCTGAGATCAGGGCCCTTAGAGCACCACCTGATGTCATTCGAGATATTTTGGAGGGTGTGCTACGTCTCATGGGAATCTATGATACCTCATGGGTCAGCATGAAGAGGTCAGCAGTTACTGAATATTTCCTTAGTGCCTGGCTTTCTAATAAAATTTAGTATTTCATTTTGCTCATTATTTTACAAAATTTGTATAAATTATGTATTCTAAATAAAACAACTAAATATCAATTGTATTTTAGAAACTGCACTGCTAGTGAAGGTTTGTGAAAGTACTCTTAACAGATTCTAAGAATAAATTAACTATTCTTCATTTTGTTTCATTAGTTGTGGATTATTATTTTTATTTCATTGATAAATGAGTACAAAACTTCTAAGATTTTGCTGAATGGTTTTATAAATGCTTGTAATTTAGAGAAAAAATAAAAGTTGTTTTTAGCCACGCTCTATCATGATTGTCAGTTAACAAATATTTCATAGTATGTCAGACATGTTTACCCTCAAACTCTTAAAATCGTACAATATCATCACAATACAATACATTATCTTAATAGTAAAAAAATAAACATACATTATATATAATGTATACACCTCAAAATCATATATTGTACATCAAAATCGTAAGAGTAAACAGGTCTGGTATGTGATACATGTTTCATTTTTTTATTAATATATTTTTCCAATCATTTCCAAAATGTCAGGCATTTTAATGTATTGGTTATTTTTTTATCTGCACTTTTTTTTATGCAGTTGAGTTTCAGTCAGTCTAAATAAAGAGAAACAATTTTGTGCATATTTCTAGAATGTGTGGTGACCTCAGCTGAATATACAGCTACCTGCTTAGTAATTTTTTTATGCAGATAAATCTGACAGATTTAGCAATAGAGTTTTCCTACCTTTAAAACAGTCTTAAGGAATAAAAAAAAAAACTAAAATGAAGAATTAAAGATTTGACCTCAATATTTTTTCTGTACAATCAGTAAGAGAATTATACCAAAAAATTGGGTGCATTGTTAGAAGCCAAGGCTGAGAGAACTGTAATTGTCATTTCATGAACAAATCATTATATCTTTTAACTCTGTGTTTTTATTTAGTTTCCTGGCTAAGCGAGGTGTGAAGGAGGAAATTCAAACATTTGATGCCAGATCCATTTCACCAGAGATCAGGAAAAGTGTAGAGGAGTTATTGAGGAGAAACAAAGATTCGTTTGATCCTAAGGTAAAGGGAACACATCAAAGACATGTAAACATTTATTTTATTTTTCCAGATAATGGAAACTGAAAACTTTTGGATAATTTTATTACTAAAAGTTGGACCAGATAAGAAAATAAAAAATAAAAAAAATCAATAGTTTATCCTGCATTTCATTTAATGTTATAGATTACGTTATGTTTTTAGAATGCGAAGCGAGCGTCGCAAGCAGCAGAGCCACTGGCAGCATGGGTTCGAGCAAATGTCCAGTATTCTTATGTGCTGGAAAAGATAGAGCCTCTAGAGAAAGAGCAAAATGAGTTGAAGAGGTAAGTGCCCAATTTGTGTTAGTAAGTGAGAGTGTTTTGAAATTGATAAGAAAAAATTAATTTAAAAAAAAATAAATTTTCTTACAAATATTTTCTTTAAAATTTAGTCAGGATATTAAATACTAATTTGGCAACATTATTGATTAATAAAGCAAAGAGTTTATGCATTTACATTTCCCTATGTGGTGTAAATTAACAGCAAATTCTTAAAATGTCCAATGGGAACCGGATTCATGGGTAAAGATGTAAACTTACCATCCTTTTCTCATGACAGTTAATCATGGGATATGGCAAATACACGACATGGGTTGGTAGGCAGTGGTAGAGGTATTTAAGTTTTGATTTTTGTTAAAACTGATTCAGCTTGGCACATTATAAGGACGATCGCTTTAATGTGCTCCCCATAAATTTATTAAATCATTTCACTACAGTAAACAAATATACTTTGAAGTTCTAGAAGTTATATCAAGGTAACAAGTTGTTAGAAAATGTATTTATTCACAGATACAATTTCATCAACATGTTTTTAATTGAGAACCAGTGTTCTGAATTAATACAATGTGACGGTCTTAATTTCTCTGTTCATTTCCATCATTTTAAATTCTTTACCTCACAACCAACAGAAACCTTGACAAAGCTGAGGCTCGCATGTCCAAACTTAGCCAGGCTTTGGGGGAGGTGGACAGGAAAGTTGCCAGCTTGCGCAACCGGTTTGAGACCCTCACCAAGGAAGCTGCTGAGTTGAAAATAAAGCTGGACAGAGAGAATGAAACCATCGAGGCTGCCGAAACACTGGTCACTAAGCTGGAGGGAGAATACCAGCGTTGGAACCAGCAGGTGAGAAATTTTCTTTCATAAACTTTGCTTGTGATATTGTGTTATTTCTTATTTCTGTGTTATTACTCAGACTACAAGGCAGCTGGTAATTTAATTAAATTTTTTATAAATTAAGTGTAACCATTGCTGTAACCTCCGTTTAAGTGTTAGTTTTTTAAGGCCCATTTCCAGTTCAATTGGTCCCTATGAAGATAGTTTGGCCTTATCAAGATGTCAATATACCATAATCTTATTATAAATGATTGTCTGTTTTTTAATCTGCCAAGGAACAAGATTTTATTTCCTCAGTTCTAAATGCAGTTGGTTTTTCACTCAAGCTACCATCTATCTCCATTTATTAAAAATTAGTTCGCTCACATTTACTTGTGTCAAATAATTCAAAATGTTGCCTGAAGTGGATTTTACAAATCTTTCCAGGTCGGTGAACTCTCAACTGAACTACAAGTGCTGCCAAAAAGAGCTCTGCTGGCTGCGGCATTCATCACGTATTTGTCAGCCGCCCCCGAAGACCAGAGGCGGAACTATCTGAAGCAGTGGCAGGAAGCTGTGGGTGTTGACAAGTTTGACTTGAGGAGGTTTTTGTCGACTGAAAGTGAGCAGTTGATCTGGAAAAGTGAGGGTCTCCCTTCTGACGACCTGTCTATGGAGAATGCATTGGTCATTTTACAGGTGTGTAAAACTGCCCATTTTTGTGCTTTAACATTGAAACTTGCATTGTTTTAATATTAGCTGTTGTTGTCTAAACTTGGACTGAGAAGTAGGACGGCTTATGATGTCCAACAAGGATTGTTTTTATATGATGTCAAACAGGAATTGTTTTTTTTATATGATGTCAAACAGGAATTGTTTTTTTTTATATGATGTCAAATAGGTTTTGTTTTCACATGATGTCAAACAGGGATTGTTTGTGTATTCATGAAAAAGGGATGCATCTAATTTTTTGTTTGTTTTTTTATTGAGAAAATGAGAGCAAATTTTCAGATTCAGTTATGCTTGCCTGGTTTTAAAAGAAATAGCTATGCTTGCCTGGTTAGAAAAACATATTTCAAATATTGCCTGAAATGAAAGCTAATTGAAAACCTGTAATACTCTCAATTAAAATAGACCAATTTTTCTATATTATTTCTTATAGCAATGTCAAGAATGTAGTGAAATAATAAACCTGCTGATAAGAAAACCTAAATTTCATGTGGTGTTTTTCATGCTTAATTTTTTTTTCACCATAAAACTATTAGGTGCATGATATACTGATTGGGGTAAGGAAATACAATTTTAAGTATTGGAATTCATGGTTTGGAGTTGCTTTTTTTTTTTTTTTTTTTTTTTTTTTTTTTTTTTTTTTTTTTTTTTTTTTTTTTTTTTGTTTTTTTGTGGTTTTCATGCAGTAGTCAATGTGTGTGTCACATGAGTTTGCATTTTGAGATAGAGGAGATTTGCCACGTTAATTTTTTTCCTCTTCATAATGTTTAAATCATATGTAATTTAAGTTTGTTTATCAATCCAAATGATCTTTAAAAAAGATTAAATCACATGTTTGTAATGTCCCTCACTTTATTACCCCTAACTAAATTGCACTTCACTTAAAGCAGCCATGATGCACTTTAAATGTAATCCAATAACTTTTAACAATGACATTTCTGTAGTTAACAATGGCACTCCAGAGAAAACAATATGTAATTGTATGTGTTTGAGGGGCAATGTTTATAACTATTTTTGGGTTATTCTTCTTCTGTAATATGATAAACAATGCATGCAAAATAAAATAGGTTATATGCATATCATGCCATTAAAATTATAAGTTTATGAACATAAAACTTTTAAGAATTATGTTTAAAATAATTAATTGAAAATTAAAACCATTTTTTCAAAAAGAATTATTTCATTTAATGTCAAGCTGAGATGGATTTTTAAGTTTATATTGTTTCTTGACTCTTATACATTACGTTAATTAAATGCAGGTCTTTGTCCTAAAATATTTCAATGATAAAGGAGACATTATTTTAAAAATAAAAAATTTCTTTCAGAGTTCACTTCGTCCATTTTTAGTGGATCCATCATCCAGGGCCACAGAGTGGCTTAAAGTTCATCTCAAGGCCAACAGACTAGAGGTCATCAATCAACAGGTAGTTTAAAATTTGACAGTTTCAGTAGCAGATTTAATAATTTAGTCTAAAGTATATTTTTTTAAGGTTGAAATCGCTTTTCTTAACCCTCTTGAGACAGCTGGGCCGATCTTTAGGCCCAGAGTGGTATAGTGAAAAAGATGAAAGGCCAATCTATTGGCCCAATAATAAAAGCCTTGAGATTGGCTGGCTGGTCTTTATACCAGCTAATCAGATTGCTTCTCACATTTCTTGCTCATCATTCCATTTTAATGGCCGCATCAATTGATATTTTACTGTGTTCTGTCGTGATATAGAACATTTTTTTTGTGTGCCTAGTGACAAATAAATGAAAATATGGGACCTTGAAATATGTCAAAAGGCAAAACAGCCCCTGGGGAATATTTTATGCAGTTTTTCACATTGAATCTCATTCAAAATGGGTTAGGACTTATTTAGGCTTCAACAAGCATAAAATTTTTAAAAATTCTGCGAATAAGACAATTTTACTCTAAGCGTTAAAAATAATTGTATGCATAAATTATACAAATCAAGTTATCTCATTTGCATAAAGTTGGAGATTTCAGTCTGATTTATAAAGATTGTTTTAGTTTCTTCAATTCCCTACAAGAATATTTATATAGTTTTATATTTGTAAAGTAATTAGTTTTTATAATTATTTTTACAAAGTAAGTGCAGGGCTTGTGAAACAAGGCTGAGTCTCAAGAGGGTTTAGACAGAGTAGTTCTTTAAAATTATTTTTGAATGAGAAATGTGTACAATCATTTCTTTATATCCACCCAGCTCAACATACAATTCTTATCTACTACCAGGATTCAATAAAAAAAATTAATCTTAACAATTGTCTTTCTATTGGCCTCATTTTTAACAATTTAACAGCAATATCTTATCATTAGTAATTATACAATTTACCATATTTTTACTTTACCATTTGGTTCCAGGATGCAAACTTCAGTACAGCCCTTGAGCTTGCTGTCAGATTTGGCAAGACTTTGATAGTACAGGAAGTGGATGGAGTAGAACCAGTCTTGTTTCCTTTGTTACGAGGAGATCTCACTGCACAAGGTTAGTGAGAGAATGATGTCGGAGCAGATTTGAGGATTAAGGGGTTATTATTCTATAGTTACGGAATTATGTTGTTTTTTTGTTTATGAAGATGCTAACTTTTTTTCGTTATATGTTTTCATTTATTGTGAGGTTGAAATTTTAGCTTTGGAAAACATTTTCGTGTGCCCTTTTAACTGATAAATTCTAAATTTTATTTAGGGTTTTTTTGTTTGCTCCTGGGCTGCTTTAAGTTAGTTTTACTGATCTCTAAATATATATTTTTTTCAAATTAGCGCTAAAAATAATAGAAATAATAATTTAAAATTTCGTTTTCAACAAAGGTCCAAGATATGTGGTTCAGATTGGTGAAAAAACAATTGACTACAATGAAGAATTCCGTCTCTTCCTGACCACAAGAAACCCTAGTCCTGAGATCCCACCCGATGCTGCAGCCATTATTACAGAAGTCAACTTCACCACAACCCGTGCAGGTCTCACTGGGCAGGTGAAAAAGAAATTTTTTTTGTTCCTTATAATTTTTTTTTTTTTAAGTTATCACAAAGCAGAAGTATCCCAAATTAATGAAACCTATTCAACAAATGTAAAATTGACTAGTTTTCAAAAAATAATAAACTCACAAAAAAAACGTAAAATTGTGTTGTATTGTTTGAATAAAATTTAGAAATGTGTGATCATTTCCTTAATTTCACAGCTATTGGCCAACACACTGCAAAATGAAAAACCTGAACTGGAACTGAGAAAAACAGAGCTTTTGAAACAAGAGGAGGACCTCAAAATTCAACTTGCCAAATTGGAATCCAGCTTATTAGAGGTGAGAATATGTAGGAAGTTTTTTTCTTGGCCTGTGCAGTGAATTTTTTAAAGTAAAGAAATGGATTGAAACATTAAAATTAATCTTGGAATTGTGTTACTGTTACATATACATGTTCTTTTGTTAAAATATTGATCTTAAAAGTGATGTGTGCAAAATGACACTAGGAAAAAAAACTATTTTGCTAAACCAAGGTTTTTCTTTGAATCTTTCTTTAAGTTAAAATAATGAATTTTTACATTTACAATTTTGCTTGTGTCAAACATATTTTTTTAAATTTGAAAGAATAAATATTTAAATATTAAATAAATTAAACTTTTCCTTTTTTTTAAAAAACAGGAATTAGCCAATGCCAAGGGTAACATTCTAGAAAACAAGGAGCTTTTAGATTCACTAAACAAGACCAAGGCCAGCAGCATCACCATCACAGATTCACTGGTTGAATCTGTCCGCCTTCAAACCTCCCTGGACCAGGAGCGTAACACCTACCTGGCATTGGCTGAAAGTGGCAGCTGTTTGTACTTTGTCATCAGTGACCTGGCCAAGATGAACAACATGTACAGATTCTCACTGGCTGCTTTCCTGAGGTTGTTTCAGCGGACACTTCAGTCCAAACATGTGAGGCAAAATTGTTATTATAAAACTAATCGTTTTGGATTGTTGAGAGGGGGGTTTGGGTGTGTGTGGGGGAAGGGAGGGGGGGGGGGTTAATGACACAAAAATAGTTAAATCACTAGCCATTTTTGTAATTCTCTGAACTTAAACAGAAGCAAAAATAAGGACATGTGTGGGGGAAGGGAGGGGGGGGGGTTAATGACACAAAAATAGTTAAATCACTAGCCATTTTTGTAATTCTCTGAACTTAAACAGAAGCAACAATAAGGACAATGATAATGATGACAGTGTGAGCTTTAAAAAGGTCAATTAAATTAAATTTACCATTATCCAAATTGGTTCATTAACAACAAGTCATGAATTCTTATGAAAAAGGTCTTGAACATCGTAAGCCACCCATGGCAATACCGGTATGAACAAGGTTATTAGGTCTTTAAACTTATTTTTTTATCAATTAAGTTGACTGTTTTTAACAAAATTTGTTTAGAGAAGATTTTAAAAGTGCATTCTTCCCTGTTTACTGTTCCCAAGGATGGCAGCGGCACAGAACTCAGGTTGAAAACTCTGAGCAGCAAGCTTGTCATGATGGTCTATGAGTATGTCTGCCGCTCGCTGTTTAAAGCTGATCGCATGATGTTTGCGATGCACATGGTTCATGGATGCAAGCCAGACTTGTTTGAGGAAAATGTTAGTTGTTCTGTCTCTTCCTTTTGTCCATATTTTTATTGTTAAAATAGTGCAGAATTCTTTAGGCTTGACAAAATTTTGTACATATTCACCATTTAAAATTAAACTGGAATAGCGGTCCTATTGACAAATGCATCGAAATATTTGGTTTAAAAGAATGATAATTTTTTTACAATCTTATCAAGGAATGGGAAGCTTTCACTGGTATGTTGGTGGCAGATGTGAAAGGAGACAGTGGACGAACGCCATCTTGGGTGGATGAGGAAAGACATGCAGCCTTGGCAGCGTTTAAGGTAAAAAAAAGTAATTGTGTAAACACCAATGAAATAAATTTTACAATGATGTTTCAGTAACATGGAGAATCCACACAGAAGAAGTTTGTTTTGTTTTTTTTAATACAGAAAATATATCAATTATTTTTCATTAAAATAGAATAGGCTTACATTTTGTTTTATATTGGGGACTATTTATTTGCATTCAGTTTCACTCTCTGTTATGATCTATGTGCAGTCACCTCAACAAAAAAATGTAATGCACTGGTAGATTACTAATGTTATCTTTCTTTTTGTCAGACCAACTTCCCAAGACTGTACCAAAGCCTAGACATGGAGGACACTGGCCTGTGGTCAAACTTTGCCCGCAGCAGCCAGTGCGAGCAGGAATTCCCAACAGCTATTGAGAGGAAGATAACTCTGTTTCAGCAAGTTCTTATCACACAAGCCACACGACCAGATCGGCTGATCAGTGCCATGGGATTGTTTGCTTGTAGGGCTCTCGGTATGTCATTGCCGGATATGTCATTTCACGGAAAAAGAATTTTGTTATTTCATAATTTTATGCTTTGTAGATAATGTCAGTTATGTCATGGAATGGTGGAAAAATAGTCCTGTCATAGTAATTATATCATTCTGCCATGTAAATGTTAAGTCAAAATTTTAATGACTATTTTTTAATTTACAATTACAAGTCAAATAACAAATGAAATAAAGTAAACACCAATCAAGCACAATACAATACTCACCAATCAGGCACAATACAATGCTCATCAATCAAGCACAATACAATGCTCATCAATCAAGCACAATACAATACTCACCAATCAGGCACACCAATCAGGCACACCAATCAGGCACACCAATCAGGCACACCAATCAGGCACACCAATCAGGCACACCAATCAGGCACACCAATCAGGCACACCAATCAGGCACACCAATCAGGCACACCAATCAGGCACACCAATCAGGCACACCAATCAGGCACACCAATCAGGCACACCAATCAGGCACACCAATCAGGCACACCAATCAGGCACACCAATCAGGCACACCAATCAGGCACACCAATCAGGCACACCAATCAGGCACACCAATCAGGCACACCAATCAGGCACACCAATCAGGCACACCAATCNCAAGAGTTTCAGGACCTTGCATCAGAAACTATTGGGTTTGAGAGATATCCTCAGGTCAGTTTGGGTAAACAGCCAGAATTACCCCCCCCCCCCACCCCCAATCCGGATCTCGCTAAATAGGATTTTGAATAATGTTAATAAGGTTTACCAGTAAATACGAAAGCACAATGAATTCCTGGAACCTATCAATAGCTGCTTATATCAACAACATAGTTCTAGGTCAAGATGTTAGATTCCTTGAGGTAACAGTAAATCTCTTCTGTTACGTAAATCATAGTTTAAATTAAACAACCCATAAAAACAGTTTTTATGCATTTTTGTTTGCATTATGTAATTGTACGTGATTTATCATTTATGTGATTGCGGCTGGTTTTTATCAAACTTTGTGCATTTAAAACCCAATAGACTAAATGTATTAAATCCAAATATAATTCAAAGGACATAGCAACAGCTATACAATTAATCTTCACACCAAAACACGCACTCATTGAACAAATCATGTATTCCTCTCCCCTTGAAAAACAGGATTTTAGGTTTGGGGGTGGAGCTGAAAATTTTATAGAATTTGTTGTCATCAGCAAGTTTCAGCTGGATAGTATGACGGGAAGTGGGTTAATGAACCTTCTGAAGATTTTGAAAGAAACACATGAACGAAACCAAATTTAATGTAAAGGATTTAGAAATACAGATATATTGTTATTGTTTTGTAAATAATCTGCTCTCACTCTGTTACTTCTGCCTTTTTTTAAGGCCGCCATTTTAATATTTTTAGATTTCAATCAGTGAAGGGTTATGAAAGAGAATTTAATTATTATAAACCCAAACCTCACTTTGACCAAACAATATTTAAATTAAGCTTATTAGGCAACAATGCAAGGGTGTAAAACGGTAGGTGAAAAATTTAAAGATGTTTTCAACATTACCAATCATTTGATTATGTTTTTCCATGTTACCATGACAAATCATCAGATTTTGTTTCTTCCATGAAAAGCACATCCAGATCTTTGTATTTATGCTGTGAGAAACCATGTTGTTGTTTATAAAATCAAAATTATCATGGGAGATTTTTACCATGCCCCCTCAGGTTGCTATGGGTCAAGGACAAGCAGAAGTGGCCATGAAGCTTCTTCATGACTGCTCAAAGAATGGTAACTGGCTGTGCCTGAAAAACCTGCATCTGGTCACTGCCTGGTTGCCTGCCCTTGAAAAGGTATCATCATGGTTTTTTACTAACCTGACACAGATAGAAGAATTTGTTAATAGTAGACTTAGAAGTTACTAGGCCTATTTTATTTTTGGTCTTTGTAACCTAACATATATATATTTGTTTTCCCCAACAGGAAATAAACACCATGCAGCCTCACAATGATTTCCGACTTTGGCTGACATCTGAAGTGCATCCTAAATTCCCAACAATTTTGCTACAATCAAGTCTCAAGGTCACCTATGAGGTAAAATATCTTTGCGGCACAGAACAAATGGGATAAATTGTTTTTTTTGGACAACCTAACTTCCGCCAATAATATGGTACTTCTGACTCCACCATTTTTGCACAACACAGAAAACTACAGACACTCAAGTTTTTAACTCGTTCTTTTCCTTGTTCTTTCTGGTTTTGTCTGCTGACAAAGGCTTTTAGTCGAAACATTCCCTTTTTATTGTCCTGTTCTTTCATTTCAACTAGTTCCACTAATTCCTTCACTTAGCTTAAATTCAGTCCTTCATTTATTATCCCTAATTTTTGTTAGAAGAGTTGACATTTTTTATTTATTTGTTTAGCTGTTGTTATATTTTATAACAAGAAACAAACCATTTTCAATTAAAATGTATTAGTGTTTTATTTTAAAAACATAATGATCATTTGAGCCAGTGCTCCTCAATTTTATTACACGTGCATGGCTTACCTAAATCCTGCCCAGAACGCTGTTGCATACCACAAGGAAAAATTTACCATAAATATTTGAGCTCAGAGCACATAATTAAGTGAAATTATGTAACAATTTAGATCTTTGACAGACAATCTGATTCTTACATCTGCTAAAAATTTTGTTATCCTTGTTAGTGCATTAGTTTTTATTTTAGGTTGCAAATCGGTTTCTTTGGGACCTTAGACTTCCAGATATGACCTTACAAGTTTGACAGATTTGTAATAAGATAATCATTTTTCCTTTTTAAAAATAGGTTTTATGATATTTATGTGTCCACTGTAAATTCTGTACTTTTCCTCCCCATTGGGGACATTTTGCTATTGCACACCTAGCATAGTCTGGTGGCGTCCCAGTATTCTTTCAGAAATAATTCATTTCCATGACTCCAAGACTGAGTTGGCAAGGGTTAACTGGTAAGATAAGAGTTAAAAAATTTAATATTTCTTCTACAGGCGCCACCTGGTGTGAAGCGTAACTTAATGAGGACCTATGAGGGCTGGACCCCTGAGTATGTTGCTCGTGGTGGTAATGTGCTGCGCTCTCAGGCCTTGTTTGCCCTGGCCTGGTTCCATGCTGTGATGCAGGAACGAAGGATGTACATACCCCAGGGCTGGACCAAGTTCTATGAGTTCTCCACATCAGATCTGAGAGCTGGTGCTGACATCATAGATAGGCTATGCAAGGGAGGTAAGTTTGATTCTTAAATGTCAAGCGTAACTTAATGAGGACCTATGAGGGCTGGACCCTTGAGTTTTTCCTGGGCTAGTTCATAATGTGTATTATTTTCCTTACAATGTTTACTATTTTCTTTACAATGTGTATTACTTTTTTTTACAATGTGTATTATTTTCTTTAAAATGTATACTACTTTCTTTACAATGTGTATTATTTTTTTTACATTGTGTACTATTTTCTTTACAATGTCTATTACTTTTTTACAATATGTATTATTTTCTTTACAAAAAAGGACAATTGATGTAATTATCATCAGTTATTTAATTTGAAACTTTATTCTCTCAATACACAAATATTTAAAATTAAAAGGCATTGTTTTAGATTCTGCGGCTTTAAATGTTTAGAATTATTTAATAAAACAAAAAATGTTCACTTTGTTGTAATTTTACACAAAAACATCAACAGACAAGCCATGGATGTCTGTAGCCAATGCTAACATTTTTACTGATATTTTAGTTGAGAAATTACATAAAAAGTGGGCTTTGGCAAATGATGCAGGGGCTGTTTAATATTACTGTAGATGAAAAATGTCAATCATATTTTTTCCAGACAATATTTCCAGCGTCTGAGAACTATTTTATAACTCAAACTTTGGTTAAAAACATTTGCATCTGACCTCTCAAATCAGATAAAAAGTCCCTTTTTAACAAATATTCAGTTTTTTTTAAAATAAATTATTCAATCCCAGATGGGGGGGGGGGGGGGGGGGGGGAAACTCATTGTCAGTATCAGATATCACTTTATTAAACATATTTTTAAATTTGATTTGATTTTCTATCCTCTAGTACTTTATGATGCTAATGCACTGAGCAGTGCTGGAAATGGAGGTGTCTAGTATAGTTTTCTGTGTGATAAAATAATACATGCAGATCTGTCATTTAATTTGTTCCTTTTAGATCAACTCCATAAAAAGATTTGTCCAGATTTTAAAGAAATTAATGGCTAAAATAAAATCAATTAAACATAATTTGCATTATATTAACCAACAATTTTACCTTAGGAAAAGTAATATGTTCCAAACTTGAACAAATAAGTTGTGACAAATTTGTATATGTTGTGCTTCAAATAACAAACACATAAACATGTACATTTATCCAGAAAAAAATCCAGGGAAAGTATCTGAAATACAAACGCTTGCTTCATAACAAATAATTAAATGGCTTTTAAAATAATTTTAACAATTAAATTTAAAGGTTTGTTCTGATGCTAATATCTGTGAAAATTACAACTATTACTATAGTTATGATTGTATATAAAGTATAAATGTTACAATAACTGACTACATAATACATACTGACACAATAATTAATCCATAGTTTGAGTGTGCTTACATCCTTATCAAAATTCACCAAATTTTAAGAAATATGTAGGAAATAAAGCACATTAAGAAATGGGCTAATAGCATTTGATGGTGTAATAATATAATTTTTAATATTTTATATATATATTTAAAAGTTCTTGTATTATTAAAAAAAACTCTAAACATTGATTATAGTTACATGATTATAAAATTTTACACATATTCCTTAAAGCGCACAGCACATGTATGTCACATTGCTGAATAAAAAAATGCTCTCTTCAGCCCATTTCATCAAGTTATTATTTAAATGTCAGGTCATGACATCCAATGGCAGTTTATCCATGGGCTGTTTGAGTTCGCCATCTATGGTGGACGTGTGGACAACCCGCTGGACATGGGGGTCATGGTGTCCTACTTAAAGCAGTTCTTCAATGGTTCAATCATCTCGCCACAGAACAAAGGAAAACGACTTGGGCCACTCAAGATGGCGGCTTCAACTAATATTCGAGTAAGATCTGTATTGCTAGGAGCATTTGAGAGAATCAAAGAATTGTCCTATCACTGATAGGGATGTTATTTATTGTATAGCATATTTTAGCATATTAAAAATATTGTTGAACAAATTAACTTGCTAGGCAATTAATCAACATGGTTTTGAACACAAAGCCTTAGAAATCACATTTTAAGAAGATGTTTTAAAGATCTGAGTATGCATTATTTAATATGTTCTAAATCATTCCAGGATTACATAGAAATTATTGAAGCCCTACCTGAGTTTGACAAGCCATCTTACTTTGGACTACCAGAGAACATAGAGAGGTCAGCACAGCGCATGACCAGCATGTCCGTCATATCACAGCTGCGTGTACTGCAAAGGTCAGACGCCAAGGCCAACAAATTTGACAAGGATGTTTGGGCTACTGAGCTTGGTCCCATTCTGAATCTGTGGAAGAAGGTCAACCAGGTAAAATTATTAATCAGAATTTGTCCTTATATTGTGCATGTGTAAACTATTTTTTTTTAAATTTTAATGAAGAAAATATCACATATTTGATCTTTCCAATTAATTTAATCAAGTTTTTTTTTTGGAGGTTATATTTGTTGTATTTAATTTTAAAAATGATTTAATAAAATTATTTTTTTGGTCTCTTGTTGATTTTTTAGGATGTTATAAAATTTATATTATTTGTTACAATTTTTTAAATCAAACTTAACAGTATGTCTTTATTGGTAAATGGGACTGTAATCTTATCACATTTTAATTAGTGATTTAGAACTTATTTAACAAACAAAACATGGAAATAGTGATATTTTACCACATAAAAAATTATTTAAAATCCCCAACAAACTTTGTTACTTTTCAGGGACATAATCTCATACAAACCAAAGTTATTGCCCCTTCAGAGAAAGCTAGCAATGAATCTCCTGTGCTTACATTCATCAAACTGGAGAGCTACAATGCCATTAAATTAGTGCAATCAGTTCATGCTTCGCTTGCTGCTCTCAGTAAGGTCATCAGGGGCACACAGCTATTAACTTCAGATGTCCAGATGTTAGCAGCTGCTCTGCTTAATCAAGAGGTATTTTACTATTTCTCCTTTTATAAAAATATGTTTAATATTTATTTAGTTTCAGTATTTTTGAAAATTCCAAATTTTAAGCTTTGAATTTATTATTTTTCCCAATGCTATGGACTGTGGTTAATTGCTAAAATAAAAATCAAGAAGGTTATATTGCAGTAGAATAACCTCTGAATAAGTTAACATAAGTTAATAAATGTGACTAGTCCAAGTCATTGCTGTTGGTACAAATTGTAATTCTTGAATTAATTCCCAAGACTCCCCTCAATTGGCTGAGCAAGTGGGATGGCCCAGAAGATCCAGTTCAGTACTTACGTGGTCTGGTCACTCGGGCAGCTGCCATACAAACATGGGTGGAACGTGCCGAGTCTGGAGCACTGCTGAGGGAAACTTTGGACTTGTCTGACCTCTTCCGACCCGACACATTCCTAAATGCCCTCAGACAACAAACTGCAAGGTAAGACTCTCAACCTTCTATAAATGGCTCTTGATGCATAAACAAGAGATTATAGCTAGTTTAAACTGCCAATGTTTGATAAAACCCAGGATAATTTATATTTACGGATGAAAGACAATCCAAACAAAAGAAAAAAATAGTTGTTTCATTAATACAGCCATTTTTAACATTACATCCTGGTACTCATGTCAGATTGGATGTGGCATCTGAATCAATTTTTTAAAAAGTATAAAAATGCACTGTTTATTCTGAAAATGCATCAATGTTTTTCCTCAGGGAAATGAAGTGTTCCATGGACAGTCTCAAGTTTGCCTGCAGCTGGCGTGGCTCCATTCAGGGCGCCCGCACAACAATCAAGATTGGGGGGCTCATGATTGAAGGTTGTACATTTGATGGGAGCCGGTTGTCAGAGAACCAGCGTGACTCCCCAACAGTGGCTGCCATCCCTCCCTGCACTGTGTCTTGGATACCCAAAGTAAGTTGATCATAGTCATGGAATGATGATTGAAAATTATTAGTATTTATTTGCATTATTCAATGGTAGTAAGAGTACAAATGTTATATTTAAAAGAATAAAAAGCCTTTTATTTTTTTCATGTTCAAACTAGTAAATAAACATGGATATTCTGAGCTGTTGTTAGCTACAACCAGCATAAATGCATAGTTATAAGATTAAATTATTCCAATATTGTCTTCAGTTTATTGAAATAAGTTGGAGTATAAATATTATCAATGGGCTGGAGGGCCATGGCTTCGACTAAGACGTGATATATTATTATGAACTTTTGATAAATAGCTACCTGTTATATGTGAGAAAAAAGGCATGTTAAATTCATCGTTTTAATGCATTGTTTTGAATTCATGGTTTTAAAATATTAGTTTTAAATCATAGTTTAAATTCATAGTTTTAAATTCATTGTTTTAAATCATAGTTGTAAAAAGATAGAATTAAGACAATAAGTTTGAGAAATTTGAAGCTTTATTTATGACTCAAAAAAGTAAAGAATGTTCTTCAGCAGGCAATACATTTATGAAGAATGCTTTAACCCTGGAATACATATATTCATAATTTTATCCTTTTCAAGGAAAATCAAATTAATATTATATTGCATATTAGAATCGAGATGTGTTGTAAAATTTAAATAGGGATATTCTGTAGTAATTTTAAAATATTCTCAGTGCTGTAGAGTGATCAGGTTTCTTTTTAACTCCTTCCATCATTATGTTTACTTTTATCAAGAAGATGCATATTTTCATTTAATATATTTGAGCTACCATTTTTAGTTGGTTATAAGATTAATTAGACACTCTTATAATTAGATGCTTATAAGATGCATTTTTTCTTATGAAATATCTACAAAAAAACATCCTGCTTGCTATAAACCAAATGTAAATGAAGGGAGTTTTGGTTTGAGGTGTGGAGTGAGCACCAGCTTACCAACTAGATCCAGTTATGAGCCCTTGAAACTTTAACAAGTTTTAGTGTTTCAAAATTAAATTTAAAACGTTATGAGAGAAGCTTTTAATGCAGTTCGGACAATGGGACATTGAAATGAAACACGATTGATGTATTTGGGAGACTGGGGTAATTAACAGGAAATAAAATTCCTGCTAAGTTTCATATATCTCATACTACAGATCACAAGCTGATGCATTTATGGTGAACATTTTAATAATAATAATGTACTAAACTACGCTTTTCATAATTTTTGCACGATTTAATTACATTTTTCTCTGATTTCCTCCTTAAAACTTTGTGGGGCGTCTAATAAGCTCTGAAATACAGTATTTCTATATCACTTATTTATGCCAAATTGGAAGATATATCCTATATCTACTGTTGTAAACTTTAGTATGTATTGTGAAACAATGAATGTTCAGTAATTCTTTATTTTTAATGTGTTATCCAGGACTCCACAGATCCATACGGCATTGAAGAAACAATTTCCTTGCCCATTTACTACTCCAGTACCAGAGACAGAATTGTCATTCGCCTGGATGTGCCCTGTGGTGGAAATGTTGACCAATGGCTGCAAACTGGAGCAGCACTCTTCTTGAAGAATGATTAGAAGTAGATTCAATGCACTGTTATTATTATTGTGTTATTTGATTATATTAATAAACAAATTTTACAAATTTAGTGAATTAGTTTATTTTGGAATTATATTTTCATTGACTCATCATTTTCCTTTTGTTATTATTTTTTTAATGTTAATCATTTTGATGGTCAATATTAATGAGTGGTCATTTTCAAAACTTTTTGAGTTTTGTGTTAATGATAATATAAAAAAATATTCAATAATGTTCAATTTTTTTGCCAACTAAATTCTTGGTCAAATGCGATTATAACATAAATGGCTGCCATTTCAATGGGTAAAAAAACATTCTCAAATGTTACATGACATGATTAAAAATTAACCTACAGTTAAACTATGTAAAATGTTTTCATTTCACATGTTTTTGGATTTACAGAAAAAAAGATAACAATGACATGCTTAACCATTTTGTTAAAAATGTAATGAAATATCATAGTTATATTTTCATAGTTTCATTTAAGTTAAATCAAAATAATTATTTGAAGTTTTATTATGGTTTTAATTTTTTAATGTTAATATTGTTTAAGGAAATCAATTAATTTTGAATGGATTTGATCGCTGATCTCCGTCCACCCACAAAACTTTTGCTAACAAATTTATTTGACAGATTTTTGTTCAACTTTGGTCCATATCTTGCTGTGATACTTGCTGGTTACGCAAATTTGTAGTTGTTACAATTTCTTATGGATTAATAAACTTTATAATTTATTTTCAAAATGTTTAGTTTTCCTTTGTTTTAAATATATGTGAATAGCTCCGTTAGAAATTTATGGTGAATATTTTGTTAAGGATTTTAAAACGTTAATTTACATTTACAGATTTTTCAATTTCAAATATTATTTTTAAACTTAAAAATTCAAAATTATTCAATACGAAAAGCAAATTTGAGATTAACAAGGCAGGAACAAGTGTTTATCTAAATTCTACAAACAATTTATTTTATTGTCATTGAAGAAAAATAATAAGTGAATTTACCAATATATTATGTTCCTTAAAAAAAAAATACATGATAAAGGCAAGGTGTATAAAATCATTTCAATAAACGTATGAATTAATACATTAGACATTACATAAATTGCCTAGGCATTGTATAGAATGCTTGTCTGGAAGTATATAATAACATGCACAGACTTTTAACATTTGCACCTGTCGTTTGTTATATATTTATAAAAAGGATTTTATGTACAAAATTGCTATCAGAAATTTTCTAGTTTTATTTTAAAACTTATTTTGACATTTTGAATTACATTACTTTTTAAAAAAATGCAAAAGCATTGTCTATTTTTACACATGTTACTATGCATGTTCTTCACAAATCCCTGCACAAAAGAGTATACTGAGATGTTGCTGCTGATCTGAGTGAGATTTGTTTATCCATCGGAATGTATTCTAATTCCCATTTAAATTTATTACACCATATTATATGCAAACTGCTGACCGCTATGCTTCTGATCACTTCTCTAGAACCACTTAAAGGAGATCAAATATCTTTGCATACATTCTCTGTTCAGTACATATTTTCTTGGTGACTTTGAAACTGAAGGTCTTCCTCCGTCATCCAAACAATGATTAATTTGTATCCTTTATTTTTTAGAACTGAATTTGTAGAGGCAAAGAGTAGTTAAGCCTTGCTTACACACAATTTTTGTGTCTTTATTCTACTTAAGCTTTATGGCAGTTATATTATAACTGCATGTTTTAAATTATAGTAATGAATCTGCATGTTTAAGCTGATTAACGATCTACCAAAGAATTAAATGTAATCCAAAGAAAATTGTTCATGGAAAATTGTATTGTAAATAATGTTACTTCTGTGGTTAAATTTAATTTTATGCATTTATCATGCAGCCATGTTGATCATGCTGCACTTTTCCATTTCATATTCAGGCATACATAGGTATAAAGTGAAGATATTTTGGAGTAAAATATATTTCTACTCTTATTATTCACAGATGTGAGGAGATTCATAAAAAGCATTCAAAGATAAACATAACTCAATAGTTAAAACCCAAATGGATTTTATCAAGATAGGCAAAATGAGTTTGGGGAATCAAATGTTAAGGAAAACAAGATAAGATAATAAAGTAATAAAAAACACAGGCCCATCTCACAAATATCTCTAATACTTAATTTCATATCCATCACTTCTGAGTTCTAGTCTTACTAAAGTGCAACATAGTTTATCCACATTTTGGATGTTTGAATGTCAAAAATTAAAAAAAAAACACCTAAAAACAAACATCTTGAATTCAATTAATTCGAAAACTTTTATGAGGCCAGTGTTTTTTTGGTTTTATTTTCTCGCTCCCCCTAGTGTTAAAGCCTGACTACGCCACCGCCCAAATAACATTAGGAACACACCTAGTCCCAAGTTCCCGCCACACTTTTTTTTTAATACATAAAGCTCCAGAGGCAAATAGTTTTCTAAATTTCTTTCATTGCATAAACAATGAAGGATTAAGAAGAAATCTTTTTTTAAAGAGGTAGCTTATTCCTAACTGTCAATATGTAAACAGCTCATTGTGGCCACTGTTTTTGGAGTAAGGGAATCTTCTGAGTGAGGATATTTTCAAGTGATTCCATTGCCAAAATGGTGAATCTTTTTAAGCAACAATGTAACTCATTAATAAATAGTTAAACAAATTATACATTTATAATTCAATTTTTTCACAATTAATTTTTGTTTTGTATTTGAGATTTTGATTGATTACCTATAATGATTATGTTTACTATGTTTTTACATCCATTAAAATATAATACCAGTTTAAGCTCAACTGTAAGTGTAAGGCTGATGATTTACACATAAATGAATTCTCAAAAAGTAGAACCAAAGAATGGCTGATTTTTTTTCTGGATCGTATTCATTCTATACAAATATAAATGTGTACCGGGTAGCCTAAATTTTGTTTATTAAACAGTATCAAGATTTATTGAACAGTGGACGGTCATTTACTGAGAACAAATGCCTCAGACTCAAATGCAATCCTTTGGAGTTGAATCAAATAATACTTTTACTTCCCCTTGAGGCTTGAGAATCAGTTCTAACAATATTATTAGGATACATTCAACTCTTGTTGATTATCTGTGACATTATCAACAAATGGGGTATTGTCATACGATTCACATAAGTCAGGAGTGTTCATTGTTGCCCTTGGATAATTGTAATGAGATGGTGTTGTTTTTCTCCCAAAAGAGGACGTAAAATATTTAGAAGAAATCCTACCTCCACTAATCAACAAATTAGGCCCTTGTTTTACTGCAGTTTTCTTTTGGTCTGCAGATGATGCAGAGGCAAGATAGAATAGTTGTTTACTGTCTGCTGCTGAGCTGCTCAAGTGATCAACTTTGCTAAAACCGTGATTATTTTTAGCTCTTTTGAATGTATGAAAATTCGTTCCTTTGCAAATTTTGCTTTTCGTGTCAAGGCTTGACCTCTCCGCTGTTTTTCTGGTGCAGTGAATTAATTGAGAAGCACTGCTTACCGGACGAACTGCTAGACTACCCGTAGACTCCACTCCTTCAATGTACCTCAGCTCATCATGCACATGATCACTGAGTGAGTTTAAAACGGACTTTCTGTCTAGAATAAAAACTTGGGATGAAGAGTTGATGCAGCTATAGGGCTTAGTCAACTGGCCAGCAGTTGTTGCCCTTGATGGCGGTTGTGATAAAGGGAGCGTTGGTCTTGTCCGCACCTTTCTTGAACAGGTCAGTTCTGTGGGGCTTATTTGTTTAATGCTGATTGGTTGGAAGTAGATATTCCCCTTGTAACCTCGCCACACCTAAAAAATAAAATTAATGTTTAAAAAAAAAATTCTTTATTCTTACTTCACTTTTTAAATGTTCATATTAACAGATAGTTGTTGAAAGAAATTTCATCGTATCTATAACATAAGACTTTCTTAAATTACAAATTGGATACATTGATAATTAGGAAATATATAGCAATCAGGTTTAGGTAGAAGGAAATAGGTGAAACAAGGCATGGGCATGGGAAAACCTGAAAAAAAGGACGCAACTCAACGAATGTGTCGACAAGGAGCCTCTCCTTCGGCGAACAAAGACTATCTAACACAAATATAAAAATAAAAACTTAGGGTTTTTTCATAAAAGACGTCCGACAAAAAATACACATTTCTTCCACTCCCCCCACCCCAAAAAAAACAACAACAACCAAGCTTTGTCCACACGTGTCCCCCAGTGACTCCCACCCCGAAGGGTTTCAGGCGTCCTCAGGCGCAACCGACAATGTAAAAAGTACAATAACGATTATAAAGAGTCACTAGACTTTAACTTCTAAAAAAACCAATAGAATATGATATATATCCATTGATTGCGTACACACTATGGGAGAGGAGGTGGGTTGATTTTTGAGATCATGCTTACTGTCATGAAGGGCGTGGGTCTGTAGAAAGGAAGTAACAATTACAGCAATAATTATCCTAAAATTATGGCACCCTCGAATAAAAACAAAAAACAAAACACGATTCTCTATCTAACAACAATGCCACTAACACTACCAGATGGCGCTGATTTCACGAAATAAAAGTTCCGATAACTACTCTCAATGAGATTCTTTAAAAATACCGCAAGTGCGTTTGGTACGTAATATCTTCCTTTGTTTTATGGAAATTGTCTCAATTTAAATATGGTGTTATAAATCTGGAGGTATAACAGGGGGTGGGACATAAAAATTATTAATATAGTTCAGAGGCGTGAAAAAAGTGTGCGGTTGGGGGAAGGGGGGGGGGCACTAATTGGGATTGGGATGATTAAAAAAATGCGTTTCTTGAGTTCATGTTTTGTCAAGCAACTTTAGCCATGGATGGGAGGTTCAAGTATTGCGGTCGCATTTGTTTTGCTGGCTATAGCTAGTAACTATAGCTAGTAGCTATAGCTAGTATCTATAGCTAGTATCTCTGCAACCCTGTGAAATCTATGATATTTTAAATTTTATTATTAAGTTTTAAGAGAAATCACCGCAATGTTTTGCATTTATCGTCATACTGTTCCTGTGTGTGACGTAATTTGTGACGTGATCATTTCGTTGGGCTGAACCAATCGGCTGCACGGACGTTGGGAGGGAGGACGAGCGCGGGGACATCCCCACATTTCACACGCTTACGGCAGCGCCTCCCAAGTTTGGCTAATAATCAAGAGAATGTGGGGATGATAAGTAAAACATAAGTTTGGTCCTGTCGCCATTGTCACTCGGACGAGAGATGAAGACATCAGCACGAGTGTTGGTTTCAACCCGAAATGGCTGATGAAAGTATTGTTTCCGGGTAGGGCCTGCTCCGGAATAGTCGATCATCTCAAGTTCCTTGTCCCAAAAGTCAATACTGGCAAAATCGACGAAGATGTTCGAGAAAAATCTCTATTTAACTCACGTCACAGGTCTTTGAGATCTGTTGCGTCCTTTTCCGGATTTCTTCTTCTTCTTCTTCTTCTATATCTTAAGGGCCCACGATCAATTTATTGATCATTTTGGCTCCTATACCTTGGTTTCCCCATACCTTGTTACACACATTTCCTATTAGTATTACTAGTCATTACTGGTTGTTTGTTTGATTTTAAAAATTGTATTTTGGGAAAGAATTAATTTAACAAGGACGATATTTACACCGATTTTCGCCGATTACCTGCAAGGGTGCCATAGGTGCAGGTTTGTTTTGCTGTACAAAAAACGTTTGCGGTGTCAACGTTTCAAAAGGTAGGTCATTATCAGTGAAGAGTGCACTCTCTTTTTCTCTCGAACTAGTGGGATTACTGTGCATCATTTTGGTGTCG